AGTGTCCAGTGTCCAGTGTCCAGTGTCCAGTGTCCAGTGTCTAGTGTCCAGTGTCCAGTGTCTAGTGTATAGTGTCCAGTGTCCAGTGTCCAGTGTCCAGTATCCAGTGTCCAGTGTCCAGTGTCGAGTGTCCAGTGTCCAGTGTCCAGTGTTCAGTGTCCAGTGTCCAGTGTCCAGTGTCCAGTGTCTAGTGTCCAGTGTCCAGTGTTCAGTGTCCAGTGTCCAGTGTCCAGTGTCGTATAAATGCAAAAGTTTGTAAAATGCATCAACATCTGTTTGATCTAACATGAAGCACAAATATTATTCTTTATTTTACTTAAAAGAATTTATTTCTTTTCCTCATTTTTATTACTTTGTTTTTTTTATCTTTTAAGTTTAATTGTCTTTTTTATTTTCTAGGTTTAAGTCGGATTTAACTTTCTGACAATTATTAGCTGAAATACATCAGACTTTTAAATGAAATAGGAGCTTTAAGGAAAATTACATTGAGATAAAAAGTTATCTTAAGATTTTTTCATATTATTTTCTTCTTAAGTTTTCATTTAAAGTTTATAGACATGTGAAAATATATTGTACTCAAAGACATGTGAGTATATATTATGCTCATAGACATGTGAATATATATTATACTCATTGACATGTGAAAATATATTGTACTCCTATAGACATTAAAATATATATTGTACCCATATAGACATGTGAATATATATTGTACTCATATAGACATTAGAATATATATTGTACTCCTATAGTCATGTTAAAATATAGTGTACTCATAGACATTAGAAAATATATTGTACTCCTAGACGTGTAAATATATATTGAACTCATATAGACATGTGAATATATATTGTACTCATATAGTTATTAGAATATATATTGTACTCATATAGACAAAAATTTATATTTTACTCATGTAGACATTAGAATATATATTGTACTCATATAGACATTAAAATATACATTTTACTCATATAGATATTAGGATATATATTGTACACCTAGACGTGTGAATATATTTATTGTACTCATATTGACATGTGAAAATATAATGTAGTCCTATAGACATGTAAAATATAATGTAGTCCTATAGACATGTAAAATATAATGTAGTCCTATAGACATGTGAAAATATAATGTAGTCCTATAGACATGTAAAATATAATGTAGTCCTATAGACATGTGAAAATGTTGATATCTATTCTCTTCTATTCTCTGTTTACTTTAACACTTGCGGATATTAGTATTATCAGGTAAAGAAGGTTTAACATTGTATTTGTAATATTTCAGGGGTATATATTTATCATCATAGTATAATATGTCAGGGGTATATATTTACCATTATATTATAATATTTCCAGGGTATATATTTACCATTATATTATAATATTTCCAGGTTATATATTTACCATTATATTATAATATTTCCGGGGTATATATTTACCATTATATTATAATATTTCAGGGTTATATTTTTACCATTATCAACAAATAAATTTAGCTTGTCTGTCTGTTTGTTTATATCCAATAAACGTCAAAATGGGTGAACTGATCTGGCTCCAATTTTGTGTGGGACCTCACGTGACCCCAGGGAAGGTTTATGAATGTAAAAAAGTTTTTTATTTTTGTAAAATTTTAAAAATGCGCGAAAAAATATTATTAAAATTTTGCACACTTTTTTGGCTTTTGTTTTATACTGTAGAAAGAGAAGATGCTCAGAGATAAAGCCACAATTAAAAGTTGAAATATAATATGGGCTCAAAGCGCCCTAAAAGCCTAGTATTATAATTTTTTCGTGGTATTAATTTATTAATATATTATGATACTAGAAATTCAAGGCACTTCGCGCCCTTCTTTCTAGGCTTTTAGGGCGCTTCGCGCCCATCTTCTAAATTAATTGTGAACATGTTCTCTTTGTGTACATCGTAAAACAAAACAAAAATAATTCGCGGATTTTCACAAAAAATTTCGTGGATTTTCAAAATTTTAAAAAATTTAATGAAGATCCAATTTTGATGGAGACAAATATTTAAAATTTCAATCATTCATAAACCTTCCCTGTGGTCATGTGATGTCCCACAAAAAATTTGGGCCCAATCTATTCAGCCGTTTTGACGTTTATTGGATACAAACAAACTGACAGACAAACAGAAAGACAAGCCAAATTTTTATATAGACTAGCCTTAGAGGGCGCTTCGCGGATTTTCACAAAAAATTTCGTGGATTTTCAAAATTTTAAAAAATTTAATGAAGATCCAATTTTGATGGAGACAAATATTTAAAATTTCAATCATTCATAAACCTTCCCTGGGGTCCCTAGATGTCCCACAAAAAATTTGGGCCCGATCGGTTCAGCCGTTTTGACAGACAGACAGACAGACAAACAGACAGACAAGCCAAATTTATATATAGATTTCTGGGGTATATATGAACAATTATATTATACTATTTCAGGGGTATATGTTAATAATTATATGATAGTATTTCAGGGGTATATATTTACCATAATATTATAATATTTTGGGGTGGGCTGTTGCTATAAAGCAATATTTAATGTGTATTTTTAATCATTTATAAAGTAAATGGTCTCTTCACACTGCACCACTACAGTCTCTCATCTACAATAGAACATTTAACCCTATCCCTGCTGGGGTACTTGAAAACCAGGATACGCNGTCAAAACGACTAAACCGATCAGGCCCAAATTTTGCGTGGGACCTAACATGGCCTCAAGGAAGGTTCATGGCCAATCAAACTTTATATATGTAATCTTAAAATATTTTTATCTGAAATTATTTAATTTTGTAAAATTTTGAAAATGCGCGAAAAAATTTTATGAAATCCGCAAATTAAAAAAAAAAAATTATACTGTGCAAAGAGAAGATAAAAAAGGAGATAGTCGCAAAGCGCCCTAAAAGCCTAGTTGTAACAAATATTATTGTTATTTTGAATTTCTTACTAGATCTTTCCTTTCAATTGTTTTCAAATCTGCATAGAAATTTTAAAGATATCTTTTTTAGTGTTGACAAAAACTTTACGGTAGCAAGTAACACCCCGGACCCTCAGGTTAGTTTTACAAAAATTATTAGAAGAAAAAGAAGTAAATTATGCTTTACAGTAAGATGTAAGATATTGCTATTAATTATTTATTTCAAAATAGATTTGAATAAGTTATATTCTAAATGTTTTGTGTCCAAATACAAGTTTGAATAATGAAACCAAATATAAACTTGTAGAGATGGGATTAAATCGAAGAACGTGATCTGTACTTTTGGGGAAAATGTTCAAATCATTCTTCTTTATGAGAGTACTGTTGCAAAAACAAACAAACTAAACTACAATAATCCACAAAATAAGATATTTAACTATAATTCTTACAAATGTTGGATTGAAAACACGACAGTCCAAAATCCAGTTTTTTCCATTTTAAACAATCTGTAAATATGAACTAGGGCAATAAAATAATACAATAAGCCCCATATGATCAAGGTAATAATGCAAGAAAAGTTAATTGCAGTTGCATATACTCTGCGTACATATTGAAACCAGTTCTCTCTGGGCGGGATTTGTAAACAAGAATAGATGCATCAGTGTGCGTTTAGTATCCGAGGAGGTTAAAAGCATTAAATTTTGTTAATAATTAATTCACGTAATAGTTTCCTATGACCAGAATATTTCATTGATTTTTGGTGTGATGGATCCCGTGTCAGGCTTTAACATCCGTCTTGTGTTTACATTACCGCCCAGAGAAAACGACAATTAGACTCAAATCTTGATTTTAAACCAATGAACATTAAACAGCAATTTCTCTAATAAAGTTGAATTTTAAAGTTTCTGATAAAAATATTTGCTTTCTAACAAAATCAAATGCAGATAATATAACGTGTTTTCTTCAACCAATTTTTAAATCTTTTAAAGCCTCCCATTAATTTAAATCTTTATTTTTCATTCTGGTATTTAGTTGCCTCCTCATTTAACACCTATCCTTATAATAAACACAATAGCCAAACCAGGATCGAGTAAAGGAATTGAGTCTTTGCCACAAACTCTGATTTTGTAATCACTATATCTTTGCAACTCAATATCGCAGACCTTTGATGTTGCAAACTATTAATGTTTTAAGATCAAATAATCTAATTTTGAAATATAGAAGGTTTACAACATCAGGTTGCAAATATAGAAAAATTAGGATTTGTGGCCAAGACTCAATTCCTTGTTGGTTAAAATCAAGGGTAAATAAATCACGGATATAAAAGTGGCGCGAAGCATCACAAGTTTTATGATAGAATATATTGTTCCTAGGAGAAGAGGCTTGTGATAGGAGTACTACTCCCGAAGGATATATCCAACATAGAATCTTTAGAGTATCATAATAGATTAGATACAGTCACTCCAGGTAACCCTTATATGCACACATTTTAGAATGAAACATTAGAGTTTTTGTATTTAGTCGATGAATTTAAGGGGCGGTCTGTACGCCTGACTTCTCATTTGTATAGAATGGTGTGTTCAGTATTTTTGTCAGTTTTAGAAAGATTTAAATTTATACTCAAAACAACCAACCCTGGTTAGGCGGGTCCAAACTGCATAGTAAATTGTGATTGCTTATTTGTAATATCTCATGCTTTGTAGTTGAATAAATAATTATTACATCTGAAATATTTTTGGTTTAATTATTACATTTGAAATATTTTAGGTTAATTATTACATCTGAAATATTTTAGGTTCAATTATTACATCTGAAATATTTTAGGTTTAATTATTACATCTGAAATATTTTAGGTTTGATTATTACATCTGAAATACTTTAGGTTTAATTCTTACATCTGAAATACTTTAGGTTTAATTATTACATCTGAAATACTTTAGGTTTAATTATTACATCTGAAATACTTTAGGTTTGATTCTTACATCTGAAATATTTTCGGTTTAATTATTACATCTGAAATACTTTAGGTTTAATTATTACATCTGAAATACTTTAGGTTTAATTATTACATCTGAAATATTTTAGGTTTAATTCTTACATCCGAAATATTTTAGGTTTAATTATTACATCTGAAATATTTTAAGTTTAGTTCTTACATCTGTAATATTTTAGGTTTAATTATCACATCTAAAATATTTTAAGTTTAATTCTTACATCTGAAATATTTTAGACTTAATATCCATGCAACGGAAACATTTTAGGTTCAATTCTTGCAACCGAAACATTTTGGAAAAATCATTTCAATCGAATCTTTCTAAGGTTTAAGTCTTGGAATTGAAGAGCTTTTAGGTTAGATCCTTGCAGCTAAAGTGTTCTAAGGTTTAATCCTTGCTAATGAAGTTTTCTATGGATTAAGTCTTACATTTGAAATATTTTAGGTTTAATTCTTGCAACTGAAAGTATGAGAGAATGGCTGCCTGGATGGAACTATACAATTCTTCTAGGAACATTATACAACCATCTCCTTACATATACATCCTCTTGTCTGTCTGTCGGTATATATGTATATATATATAAGGTTTGCAACATTTGAGGAGCTCAAAGTAGATGAAGCAAATTTCGGAAATCAAAAACTTTATTCAGTTCGGCCATTTATTCATATGTTTTTTAAACAGCCTGTAGATATTAGGGTCGCAGTGAAATCTTTGTAGCAGAGATTTACAATCTTCAAAAGATTATATTCTTTAAATTTACATTCATTATACAAGATTATATTATTTCTGGTCATTTCTTGGTGTACAGCCCTGTATTTTTTCTTTTTAAAACGCTATAATTTCAAATTACCCTTCATGCACAGATGGCAATGCTCAATTCACAACGGTACCCTGGAAACTATTATCTGATAAATAACTGGAAAATAATGTAGTGTTCAATTCTGATTATTCCTATAATCTGTTTTCCTGCACTAGAAATGCGCAAGTAATTTTTGTAGTAATTTGAAATATTCACTTTTCAAAATTTAAATATGAATATCTAATTCACGCTTGATCAGAAATTGATGTGAATCGGGCATTGCGGTATAAAAAGAAACCCCGGTCTTCTAATTTAAAAATTCAAAAACTTTTATTTTTCTCTGCTCCGCCCCCTTGTTATTGATTCCAGAAATGATTTGACTCACAAGTTTATCCATTCAGTTCCGTCTTTATCCATAAATAAACAGGCTAAGGCCAAATTCATAAAGTAAATAATACTTTTATGACCCTTCCTACGCAATGTTGTATATAGGTGATATGAATAACATAAATGTTGGACGCTTCCCGCCACCTTCCTAATGAAGCCTTATTTTTAAAAAAAGTTTTTTCTTCAAACCATAGATCTCTATGCTTCGAACTGTAGTTTTTTTTGATTTTTGGGACCAAATTTAATGAATTTAACTTTGAATCAGTGATTCAAGTTTGAACCGGCAGTCGGTAGTTAAGCGACGAAGCTCAGATTTAGTAAATTCTATCTCTGGTAATTTATAAAACTTATAAAATTAAAAAATCAGAAATATTTTAAACGGCTGTACTAATGTTTTTAGGTGACACAAACTGCAATTCAATTCAGGGATTCATGAAAAATTCAAAAGTTAAAATCTTTTATTTTCGAAAAATATAAATTATAACTTTTCTTATCAAAAATTAATAAAAAAAATTGTTGACAAATATTAAGCTTACTATAAACTGTATTTCATTAATTGGTGCAGGGCCCTCTCACAGCAGTACAAATGTACAATAAGTACAAGGTATGCTTTCTTTTTACAATTTTGTGATGTAAAACCCTGGTAAAAGCGGTAATCCGTATCTTATAAACGGATTAAATAAATACCAGTTTGTACATTTAAAAACCAGCTTGTATATTTTACATAAACCGGTTTATAAATATAATTAAATATGCCAAGCTTTTATGTAATTACTAGAACCAGTTTATAAAAGATCTTTTCGATTTACAGAATTATTTAAAAGTATTTTTTGTTTTTTATTAGTATGTAATGTCGTCTTTAAAGATATTCAGTTTAACTATATAATTTACTTAATTTATCAAAAAAACAGTGTCTGAATTCAATGAATCTAAGCTGCGTCTTAAATCCGCCGAAAACCGGTTTAAATTCAGCGCAGTTAATCTTGGATCATTGAATACGTTCTTAAGAGGAACCAACCATATTTAAATACGGCCTCAGAACTGCAAAACAGACTTGTAACTTGAGATCTGTTTAAAAGTCGTAAACGGTTTGTAAAGAAAGCATCCGCCAAAAAAGTTACTTAGGGGAAAAAATTAAGATAGAAAAAGAATAAAATTGTCATAGATATCTACTAATCATTTGGACATTATGTATTTGTGTAGTACATCCTTAGGATTTTTTTCTATGGACTTGAATTACTTGTTTAAATCTCTCTAGTCTGATGGCTTTCTATGCTTTTGTCTCTATATAAATATTATCTGAATTATTTCATTTAGGAATTATATATCCGTGAACTTTTTTCGTGAATTAGTTTTCCAAAGACGTTTCCATTTCGGGGAAAAATCCCAAGACTTAAAAACACGTATAGGTCCTATTTTTCGTGACATTTTTCTTGGTACTTGAGAAAATCAGGACTAGACATCAGTAATTAAAAATATCCAATGTCTTTTCTGATTCTGTATTTGTATGAAAACTATGAATGAAAGATATAGTTTTCTGATTCTGTATTTGTATGAAAACTATGAATGGAAGATATAGTTTTCTGATTCTGTATATGTATGAAACTATGAATGAAAGATATAGTTTTCTGATTCTGTATTTGTATGAAAACTATGAATGAAAGATATAGTTTTCTGATTCTGTATATGTGTGAAAACTATGAAAGGAAGATATAGTTTTCTGATTCTGTATTTGTGTGAAAACTATGAATGGAAGATATGGTTTTCTGATTCTGAATTTGTGTGAAAACTATGAATGGAAAATATAGTTTTCTGATTCTGTATTTGTGTGAAAACTATGAATGGAAGATATAGTTTTCTGATTCTGAATTTGCGTGAAAACTATGAATGGAAAATATAGTTTTCTGACTCTGTATTTGTAAGAACACTATGAATGGAAGATATAGTTTTCTGATCTGTATTTGTATGAAAACTATGATGGGAAGATATAGTTTTTTGATCCTGTATTTGTATGAAAACTATGAATGGAAGATATAGTTTTCTGATTCTGTATTTGAATGAAAACTATGAATGGAAGATATAGTTTTCTAATTCTGTATTTGTATGAAAACTATGAATGGAAGATATAGTTTTCTGATTCTGTATTTTTATGAAAACTATGAATGGAAGATATAGTTGTCTGATTCTGTATTTGTTTGAAAACTATGAATGAAAGATATAGTTTTCTGATTCGGTATTTGTATGAAAACTATGAATGAAAGATATAGTTTTCTGATTCTGTATTTGTATGAAAACTATGAATGAAGATAAAGTGTTCTGATTCTGTATTTGTATGAAAACTATGAATGGAATATATAGTTCTGATTCTGTATTTGTATGAAAACTATGATTGGAAGATATAGTTTTCAGATTTTGTATTTGTATGAAAACTATGAATGGAAGATATAGTTTTCTGATTCTGTATTTGTATGAAAACTATGAATGAAGGATATAGTTTTCTGATTCTGTATTTGTATTAAAAATTATCAATGGAAGATATAGTTTTCTGATTCTGTATTTGTATGAAAACTATGAATGAAAGATATTGTTTTCTGATTATGTATTTGTATGAAAACTATGAATGAAAAAAGGTTCTCATTAATTTTCACCAGAAATCTTTTAATCCTTTAAGTACAAGATAAACCTAGTATAAACATTGTTTAGCCGACGTATATTTACAGGATTGACGCAGCTAACACAATATTTTTCGGAACATTGTTGTATTTTAAATAAGAAAACTATTTAAAAGCTTTTCTTTTTAACAAGGGATCTACCGTGCACTGATACCAATGGAAAAATCATAACATTATTTAGAAATTTTGATTAAAATATCTTTAAGGGACTGTAAGCGTAATTTCAACAAATCCCACGCAACGAAGGCAAAGTTCGATTTACAATGGCACCCTTTAAACCTTAATCCGCTCAAAAATGTGGAAGATATTGCCATTCTTAGCGTTTAATAAAAAAAATATCTCAACCAATGAAAAAATGCAGTTTAAAATAAAAGGATATTTAATTCGAGAAAATCTAAAAAAATCAGAGTTTCAGTATTTTCCTAGATAATTATCACTGAAATTAATTTGATATCAATTCATATTTAGAGTGTTCGATTCACAAGGATGTAGAAAATATCCAAGTTTTCTCTCTGAAAATTTAATTTTTTTCAATTGTGGTTTCTTTCCCCGGAAATTAAGTTAAATCTTATCCCTGGAAACAAAGTTACATCCTATCCCCGGAAACTAAGTTACATCCTATCCCCGGAAACTAAGTTAAATCCTATCCCCGGAAACTAAGTTACATCCTATCCCAGGAAACTAAGTTACATCCTATACCCGGAAACTAAGTTACATCCTATTCCCGGAAAATAAGTTACATGCTATCCCCGGAAACTAAGTTACATCCTATCTCTGGAAACTAAGTTACATCCTATCCCCGGAAACTAAGTTACATGCTATACCCGGAAACTAAGTTACATCCTATCCCCGGAAACTAAGTTACATCCTATCTCTGGAAAATGCTATCCCCGGAAACTAAGTTACATGCTATACCCGGAAACTAAGTTACATCCTATACCCGGAAACTAAGTTACATCCATCCCCTGAAACTAAGTTACATCCTATCCCCAATTACTAAGTTACAAGTTACATCCTATCCCCGGAAACTAAGTTACATCCTATCCCCGGAAACTAAGTTACATCCATCCCCGGAAACTAAGTTGCATCCTATCCCCGGAAACTAAGTTACATCCTATCCACAGAAACTAAGTTACATCCTATCCCCGGAAACTAAGTAACATCCTATCCCCGGAAAATAAGTTACATCCTATCCCCAGAAAGTGTCGAAAATAAATGCAGTCAAGTTGCACCCCTATACTTTAATGTGTACATAATTAACGAAATGTCAAACCATTGATATGTTAATAATATTCACACCAATACATCGTCAAGCAAGGTATATACCATAGCTTGTTTACAATAAAAAGTGTACTGCAGATGTAAGGAAAAATATAAACAAATCTTCCAGCAATGCCTTTGATTAAAATCCTCCCAGAAACAAACTTGATTCAATCAGTAAACACAATATACAGGGTGTCGTAAAATAATTATAGCAGTAAAATTCTTGAATTTTTAATCACAAAAAACCCCTAGTCTTGACATTTCCAAAATGTGGTCTGTTCCTTTATTTCCTCAAAATTACTGGAGATATGAAGAGTTGCATTCAGATTTCAACAACTTATATTTTATTTATTAGTTTGAAATTATGTTTACAGTAAAATAAAACACACGAATATGCTTGTTTTGACTAGATACGTTTGTTTCAACATCATGTGCTTGTTTTTACTAGATATGCTTGTTTTAACCTAATATACTTGTTTTTAATAGATATGCTTGTTTTAACCTGATATGCTTGTTTCAGCCCGATGTATTTGTTGGCCCTGTTTGCCCGTACGTCCTGGCTCCAGTAGCAAGATATGCTGGATACTGGGATATACCAGTACTCAGTACAGGAGGGATGGAGATAGCATTCAGGTAGATATACTCACAGATAAACCTGATAGGACTACAGATGATATACTTACAGATAAACCAGATATAGCAAGAGATGATACTCTCACAGATATGCCAGATAGAACTAGAGATGATATACTCACAGATAAACCAGATATGACTACAGATGATATATAAACCAGATAGAACTATAGATGATATACTCACAGATAAACCAGATATAAATAGAGATGATATACTCAAAGATAAATCAGATAGAGCAAGAGATGATACTCTCACAGAAATGCCAGATAGAACTAGAGATGATATACTCACAGATAAATCAGATAGAACTAAAGATGATATATAAACCAGATAGAACTAAAGATGATATACTCACAGATAAACCAAATAGAACTAGAAATGATATACTCACAGATAAACAAGATAGAAATAGAGATGATATAATCACAGATAAACCAGATAGAAAAAGAGATGATACTGTTACAGATATGCCAGATAGAACTAGAGATGGTATACTCACGGATAAACCAGATAGGACTAGAGATGATATACTCACAGATAAACCAGATAGAACTAGATATGATATACTCACAGATAACCCAGATAGAACTAGAGATGATATACTCACAGATAAACCAGATAGAACTAGAGATGATATACTCACAGATAAACCAGATAAACTAGAGATTATATACTCACAGATAAACCAGATAAACTAGAGATGATATATTCACAGATAAACCAGATAGGACTAGAGATGATATACTCAAAGATAAACCAGATAGGAGTAGAGATGAAATACTCACAGATATACCAGATAGGACTAGAGATGAAATACTCACAGATATACCAGATAGAACTAGAGATGAAATACTCACAGATATACCAGATATAACTAAAGATGATATACTCACAGATATACCAGATAGGACTAAAGATGATATATTCACAGATATACCAGATAGAACTAGAGATGAAATACTCACAGATATACCAGATAGGACTAGAGGTGATATACTCACAGATATACCAGATAGGACTAGAGGTGATATACTCACAGATATACCGGATAGAACTAAAGATGATATACTCACAGATAAACCAGACAGAACTAGAGATGAAATACTCACAGATATACCAGATAGAACTAAAGATGATATACTCACAGATATACCAGATAGAACTAGAGATGAAATACTCACAGATAAACCAGATAGAACTAAAGATGATATACTCAGAGATATACCAGATAGAACTAGAGATGATATACTCACAGATATAGAACTAGAGATGATATACTCACAGATATACCAGATAGAACTAGAGATGAAATACTCACAGATAAACCAGATAGAACTAAAGATGATATACTCACAGATATACCAAATAGAACTAGAAATGAAATACTCACAGATAAACCAGATAGGACTAGAGATGATATACTCACAGATATACCAGATAGAACTAGAGATGTGTATTAAATATTTACTAAAGAGTTACCAACAAAGAATAGGACTGTAAAGACGACCTGAAACTCATAAAATTTATCGATCACAAGGTTAAGTTAAGTCTTGAATATTGTCTTTTAATGGTCTATGTATTAGACATTGCAGTGAAAGAAAACAGTTTGCAGTTGCAGAGCATCCTAAATATAAGAAAATAAACAGTGTACATTCTGTACAGTCGTCTCTGAAGTCTCATCCTTTGTGGGTAACCCTGTAGCCGTAGGTAGATCATTAGATCGATCAAAGAAATTCATTTTTTGAAATAAGAATATAATGATTTTAACAAGTGCAGTTTCATTTTAATAAATCACCCCTCCTTCCATTACATTAATTAAAAGCTGGTTTTAATGTTATCATCTATCCCCCACAGTTACACAACTAATAAAATTATATCAGCGCATGTTTTAGGTTATTATACTGATTAGCATTACTTTTTATTTTCTGAATTTATTTCGCATTTATGTCAATATACGGTTTGTAATAGTCACAGCTCACAATAAAGGTAGAAATAAAAAATTTATTGTATAAATACTCCACTGGGACCTGGTACTCTTTCCCAAATAAATCAGGAGTGAAGTAATAAAAGGAATAAACGAAATAGAAGTAATGAAAGGAATAGGAATTAAAGATTATAGAAGGAATAAAAGGAATACAAGTAATGAAAGGAATAGGAATAAAAGATTATAGAAGGAATAAAAGGAATAACAAAAAGCTGATTTGCCGTTTTTGTCATATTTTTTATGGTTTACAAACCTGCAGAAATAATTATATAAGTTCTATTTCTAGCATTTATAGTTCAAGCAATATTATCTGCAGCTGACAAAGAAAAGATGCGCGAAGCGCCCTGAAAGCCTAGTTTAAATAAATAAGCTTAAATCTCTGAACCATATTTATTTGTCTGGTTCTCCTCGGGACAGGTGTCAAGATATATGTCAAAAGAATTCTCTGTGGAATTTTAAATTTAGATTTTATTTAGATTTTTTCATGTTTGGAGATATTATCTAGCTACTATCTAGCTATTCTCTAGCTATTCTCTAGCTATTATTTAGCTATTATCTAGCTATTATCTAGCTACTATCCAGCTATTCTCTAGCTATTCTCTAGCTATCATTTAGCTATTATCTAGCTATTCTCTAGCTACTATCTAGCTAATTTCTAGCTATTATCTAGCTTTTATCTAGCTATTATCTTGAGATTTTGTATGACGATCTGGAAAACGTATATTTTTCCAACAAAAACGAAGAAAATTCGAAAAATACATTTGTATGTTTCCAAATAATTTTTTTTACTCACACATGTGAGTAAAACCAACGTAGAGGAGCTAAGAAGCCACAAATTCGCAAAAACTTGACTTTATCCTTTTGTTTAGTTTAGTGAGTTGGGACTTTAAAGTGGCAAACTATCAATTAGCGGGATTTGAAAAAACATTTCTGGATTATTTGAACGCTTGCAAACTAATGCTTTGCCAGGATCTAAACAGTGAGAACCAGAAAACTGTTGAATATGACATTAAAGCAGTAATTAGTGTATTCAATGCTGATAGAAAACAAATATTTTCGTTAGTAACTTATTTAATCACTTATGGAGGGAAATGGGCTCGTCTACAGATTAAGCCACTTATAAAGGGAAATAGGCTCGTCTACAATTGCACTTCACAATTGCTGTGTCTCATGTTCATTGAACTATTTAAAGTCATACATTGAACCTATTCCAGAGTTTTCTGGTTCTCCCTGTATTCTAAGAGAATGAAGTTGGTGTTTAAATAGATTAAATTTAAAAGAATAGGTTGGTGCAAAATTAAATGCATAAAGTAAGATAGCATCAAACTATTCTACAAACTTTTAAATATATTCTCAAGCACACTGTCACATCATTTCGTTTTCTTATCTAAACTGTAAGTTCAGAATCTGTAAAATAATAAAATAAGAAAAGATTTTTTTTTCTTATTGAATTGGATTTTTTAAAGTATAAAATTAGTCAATATTTTCATTGTGCATGACAGGTACGGCCTTGTGACCGCTTACCTTCTCTAGTTTTGATATTATGCACAAGTGTGACAAAAGTTATCCACGGTTCAGATATCAGTCTACCGTATAATTTACTTTAGTTTGACGTGTTTAGTTTAGGCTTTTATCTACTATTGTTCTTTATAAATGTATATTTTTAAACGTCATTTTTTATTTGTATGTACATCTCTGAATAAACTGAATAATTCCATTGGTTTGGAAATTAATTATGTAAAACATTCGATTGACATTTATCCCATTCCTCTCCATTTTTAGATTTTTAGATTTAATTTGTAAACTATCTTCTATTAAAAAGTAGTAATATCTGTTTGTTTGTTTGTATGTTTTATCATAACTCAGGAACCCCTTATCCGATTGCCTCATATTTTAACTGGAGAACAGTTGGGTTAAAAGGTCTAATAGTTGAATAGGTAGACTTTTATAAATAAAACTTAGTTTCCAAGTAAATTCAGGTTTCTATAGTAAATGTATATTTCTTGGTACACTCTGAAGTATGAAAGAGTTCTATACTATCCATACATTCTTATATTGAGGCTGCTTTATCCAAATATATAAATATGATTATTGTGCATATTGTAAATATATATGGCGACTGTGGAAAAATATATATTTATTGTTTTTAGAAAGAAAACAGAACAGTACAGCCATCTTACATGTCTTGGGGGAACATACCAGCAGGTACAAATATCAATTCAGAAAAATATTTTAGAAAAAATATTATTAAACAAATTAGGGGGGGCGTTTGGCGCCCCCTTGTGGTTTTTTTTCTTAGCACTCCCTTTAATGAATAGTAATTTTAAGGATTTTTTGTTAAAACAATATCTTTTTAAAATTTATAGGGTAGTGTCTAGGGCGGAAAAAAAGTCCGGTCTGTGAAACAAAATCTAAAATAGCCCATAACTTTTTTGTGACTGAAGCTACAGATCTGAAAACTATATTTTTGAAAAGCTCTTGAAAAATGCATGTTTAAATATGTGTTACACTTTGATATTTGTTTACAACAAACATAATTTTTATTTTTTTTACGCTTTTCTAGGCTTTTTTTCAACCCTCCCCAGCACCCAAACTTTAAAGTCTAATTTTTTTTCTGTGAGCTATGCACATGCATTTTGGGCTATGCACATGCATTTCGACCCTATACCTATTCTCTAAGGCCTTTTTCTATGGGGGGGAACCGTTGGCCCCCCCCCCCCAGGCTATACATAGATTCAGACCCAACAGCCTTTATAAGGTTAAAAATAATAAATTTATAAAGATAAAAAGGGAGGAATAAAACAAAATAACATTTAAAGAAAAAATTCATATGTTGCAGTGTTCCTGATATCAACGTATTCTGAAGTTATGAGCATCCTTTGTAAAATTATAAACACAATAAATTCCAACAAACTCAAATTTTCTAATATCATTATCTTTGTAACCTGAAGATGTAAACCTTTGATATTTCAAACTTAGATCATCTGATCTAACCAAATCCATGGTTTGAAATATCTAAGGTCTACACCATTGGATTGTTAAGATATAGCGATTAGAAAATCAGAGCTTGTGGCAAAGATTCAATTCCTTTCAAAATAATACAAATAATAATATAAATAATTTATTGAAGTAAATAAGTATAAATATAAATTTTAAAAAAATTGAAATAATGGAAATAGTAAAAATAATAAAAATAAAAAGTAATGACTGAAGTTACTAGAATCATAAAAATGAATAAAATTGATCAAAACTTATTTTGATTCTTTTATAATTGTAACTTTAATTCATGATACAATTATAAAACTTATTTTGATTCTTTCTATTCTAATAATTTATCTTTCATTCATAATAATGGAATAAAAATTAATTTTAATTCTATCATAATTTTAACTTTCATCATAATACATTTAAAACTTGTTTTGATTCCATTCTAATAATTTTTCTTTCATTCCTAATACAATCAAAACTTGATTAATTTTTAGTTTGCCGAATTCTTCCGCCATCTTCTTGAAGTATACAGCTGGAAACATGTTATGTTTCTTTATGATTCCTATTCAGCGAATAGTGGCAAGGAATACAAATAGATATCATCTCATTCAACGCAAATAAAAAGAAAAAAATTTCCTCTTTAAATGGATATTTTAGGGGGGGGGGGTGGAATACATTTTGAACAGGAGAGAAATCAACGGTATTAGAAGAAACCCTATAAAGAAATTGAGCCTTTGTCACAAAATCTAATTTTTCTAATATCCATATTTTTGCAATCCGATATCGTAGCCCTTCGATTGTAAAGATATAGGAATTAGAAAATTTTAATTTGTTGCAATGACTCAATTCCTTTGTTTGTAAAATCCAAGTGCCGAAAATTATTAATAATCTTTGTTTGGATGTCTCTTTGTTTGTTTGTCCGATCATAACTCGGTAATTCTTGAACCGATTTTCCTCAAATTTGATTGGGGAACTCGGGGTGACTGACGGGAATGTTCTTAACTTGGTTGTGAGATTTCAAATTGAGAAGGTCGACTTAAATAGCGAAAATTTAGTTTCCCGGTAAAATCGCTTAAGTGCGGGTAAATGGAGGTCGAGTAGCTTTTAGTGACCTGGCTGGGCAGAGCTGGGTTCCAAAGCTAATGATCTTATACTAATAAGCTGAAATGAGAATAGTTGATATTTTAAACGTATCTAATATCTACTGTCTAAAAATCTAGACACGTGTCTGGTACCTTCTGTCTATATATCTAGAAACGTGTCTAGTACCTACTGTCTATATATCTAGAAACGTGTCTAGTATCTATGTCTATATATATATATATATCTATATATATCTATTGCCTATATATCTATAAACGTGTCTAATATATATTGTCTATATATTAAGAAACTTGTCTAGTATCTACTGTCTACATATCTAGAAACGTGTCTAATATCTACTGTCTATATATCTAGAACCGTGTCTATAAGTATCTTCTGTCTATATATCTTGAAACTTGTCTAGTATCTGCTGTCTATATATTTAGAAACTTGTCTAGTATCTACTGTCTATATATCTAGTTAGTTTATATTCTCAATCAAAATATTTAGATCAGTAGAATAACATTGAAAATACCTGAGGTCTTCTTTCACGTAGAAGTGATATTCTTATCTTTATTTTATGGACTAGACATCCTGACACAAAAACTGGAAATTATACACTTTTTGACAACATATGAATTTTCTTTAACAGTTCAAAAACGCAAATTCTTAAAACTAATTGTAAAATTTTGAATGTTCATAAGAACTAAATCTAAACTTTCGTAAATTCGAAAATGAAAATATTTGATTACTATTTGATATTTCTGCTCCACTTGACTTAACACATGATATTAAACTTTTATAATATAACCGTTAAATGACTGGGGAGTCGAATTAATTCCCGATTCACAATGGTACCATTTGCATAATGAGTAAGATATCGTCGTTTTCTATCTTATAACTCATTGTAATTGTCTTTTTTCCGTTGGTAGTGTGAAATCACTTTAAAAATTCTCAATTTTAGAATAGAAAATAAAATTTATCTTTATACGAAGGTGTAAAGGATACTGGCGTGAATCAGACACGCAGATTTTTAAAAAGAGTTTAACTTCCGTCAAAAAATTATAATGAAAACATATTTTTTTTCTCTCGAATTAGTTTATAAATATACATCTGAGTGTTCTTTTTTAAAAATTTGTACTTTATTTTTGGTGCCTTGAGAAAATCTAGTATATCGGTTTAGGGAAGATCTATGTGTGAGTTTACTCTTGGCCAAGCTTTCAGCGAACTAGGAGGAAGGATGAAAACATGAAAAATAAATCCCTTTCTCATCCCAAATACGGTCAGATTTATGCGACATAACTGATTGGACTTTGTGATCTTGTAACGCCTTTAGTTTTAATTTTACCCAAAAGTATGAAATAGCAAATTTATCTGGTTAATTTTGTACTGCCTTTTCACCAACATTACCGACCTATGATTCCCAGCGTCCCTTGGGTAAAGTAAAATTCCCTTAACTTCTCTGTAAAGTGTTGTAAATAATTATTAATTTTTTTTTTAAGAGCTCTTCAATAAGCTACAAGTTACTAGAACTTTTGAAGATTCATATCTTACATGCAGTTTATTTTAGTTTAACGTGAGTATTTACCCCCCACCCGTGCAGTTTATTTTAGTTTAACGTGAGTATTTAATAACCCATGTTGACCAATTTCCAATTCATGGTAATCACTGAAAAAAAAATCAAAGTTTTATTTTTTTAACAAGTAAAGAATCATAACTATTAATTTTGATAGAAGTATGAAAAACAAATTTCAGATTGTTATGTAAACTTACGCTACGGGGTGAACGGTTATTTATAAAACTGATTCCCTCCTAATATATCGTAAACCTAGAGATATAATATTAAAAATATATAATCTCTAACAATATATAAACTTTACTGAAAAGTTGGGGTAACTTTCTCCTTTTAATTAATCTTGGCCGATTTTCTTTCTTTTACTTTTGTTTTTGTTTCTTATTTCTTTATCATCTTGTATTTTGGAATCTTCTTGTTTCTTTCGTTAAATTGTTTTTCTTTTCTTTGTATCTTAAAATTGTTTTATCTTAAAGGCTAGACTTATCTTGCTGATCGATTCTTTATTAATGGTGAAAGTTGTTCAGGCTCAAACACTTTACAAATTCCATTGGTCTACTCTTATACAACACAGAGCCGGGAACTTTTGAATGGATAGAATTAGTTACAGCTAAGCCGTTTAGCAGAGGTTTAATCTTAACCGTTTCTAGAAATCTTTTTTTTTAACTTCATCCAATTAGAAGCAAGAATTTAAACGGAACGAAGCCGATTTCAAAATAACTAAAAGTCTTAGACGTTTGATAAAAGTATGTTTGATAAAATACTCAAAGTGTCTTGAATATGCGAGGGACACCAACACCATCAGGTTTCAAAGATGATAGGACAAGAATATTATAGTTTTTCGGAGTTCAGATTCCTTATTTCACCTAAAAGGCTATACTCGATTTTAAGTTGAAAGATATTGAGTTCTGACTTTGTAACTTATCTTAATCTAAACTAAAAGTTTATAATATCTAGAAAGATTCCCGAGTTTCGTCTATCTAGATTCTAGATTCTAACCATTTATAAATGTGGTTTCCGAGATTTTCTCGATCCGGCTTAGACTCTTAATGTTAAAATATTTCAAAAGTTTTGGTAATCTGTGGTTACAGAATGAATATATGTTCTGTTATACAGGGTGTTTTTTTAATTCTGTAATTTATGATTCTGGTACAGCACAGGTTAAATAATTGTAAATTACATTTATTTAACAAAAATGTTTGTCTAATGTCTACACATGTTTGTTATAAAGCAAAAGATCAAAGCATTATGATATCACTGAAAATATAAAAATTGCGAATTTACATGTTTTTATTTCTTGGATTTTCTTGACGGATTATAAAACGTCCATTAATAAGCTACTCAGAACTTTTTTAAAAATCAACAAATATATTTTTAGATGAATGAGATATAAGCTTTTAAAAAAATTACAGAATTAAAAAATACCCTTTACATGAATAAATGTACTTTTAATGAAGAAAAAGACAGCGGAGACGCTACATGTTACGTCTTTTGGAAACATTTATACCACCTTTCAAAAAAATTAATCCATATTTTTTTATTATTTGAGCCACAGATCTGAAATTTACCGAAAAATGGATGTAACCACATGTCCTTAACCCTATCCCAGTTGGTCTATTTGTTTCTAACATAAGTTGAAGTTGGAACTCTCCCCCCCCCCCTTATGCTATTTGCTAAAAATGCGCTTGCTTAAAAAGGTTAAGGACCGAATTGAGGATCTAATAAGTAAGAACATATCAAAATTAATTTCTATCGCTGTGAGAGAAACCCTCTTTACACCTTTTAATTTCGATATCTCAATCTTTATCAACAATTGTATTTTCCAAGACTGAAATCTATTAAACAATCTGAGCTGGGATTGGAAACTTTAGAATGGGATATCCTTAAAGTCTCGATCGGTTAGTTAATCTGGAGATTAATAACGTGAGGAGAACAAGCGCTATTTAATCTGGAGATTAAGAAAAAGAGGAGATCAAGCATTGATCTCGATATCCACCATTCTAAAGTTTTCAGCTTTGGAGATTAAGAAAAAAAGGAGATCAATCATTAATCCCGATATAGATCAAGCATTAATCCCGATATAGATCAAGCATTAATCCCGATATCCAAAAGTTCTTAGCTCTGAAGTCTGAACTTTTATGTTGTGAATTCTCGGGATTAAGCATCAATCTCAATCTAATGTAGACCTTCGATATCCCGTTAAATATCCTGCAGGTATGGCTTTATCAGAGGGATCAAGCATTGATTCTCGATTCTAAAAGTGCCCACATCGGATATCGAGATCAAACGGCTGGAATTAATGATACTCATTCTCATACTCGTAAATACTCATTTAGTTCTAACGTATTAAACATGCAGGTATTAGTTTTAAACGAACGATAACGAACAGATCGAAAAAAGTACTATGGCACATTTTTTTACTCTAAATTCGGCGGATTTTCTTTAGCATGCATAGACAAAAAATAGTAAGAAACGATTCGCAATTACGGGATTAGTGCTCCATTGACATAATATGACCTCCAAAATGACCACTTGGAGGTCAAAAAGGTCAAAAGTGCCGTCGACGGAAATGTTAATGACATAAAAATAGTAAGAATGAATTCACCATGTGGATTTGCCCCCTATTTCGGTACCCATGACGGTATGAGTGCTCTATTGATATAATATGGCCTCCAAAATGACCACTTGGAGGTCAAAAAGTGACCTCGGGAGTCAAATTTTCTAAAAATAAAAGATTGTAAATGGATTAACCATGGGCGGTTACCCCTGTGACAAAAAAGTATGAGGCCTAGAAAGAAAAATTTCACATCATGAAATAACTGAAATATAGAGCTTTCGAATGACATCTTGATCGTAAAAATTGAACGAAAATTGTTTCCTCCGTTACTAATACCCCTACTGCACAGTTTTTTTTGACTAGACTAGGTTCTAAGGTTTATAAGTTTAATTTTTAATACGGCTCTAGCTTGACTTCAGATTTTCCTCCAGGAATCCAGAATGAAAATATTTCTAATCTTCCATTCGATGCAGAAACTGCAAATAGAACGTTGTATCAAGTAAGTTCATTTATTTAACAAACAGGAACTAATTATCCGAGTAAACAGCCAGAATATTGTTGTTTAGATAACTTTATAATAAGCTCGACAAAATATGTTTACTTTTTCCTTTTGTAGTTTTTTCATTATATTCTGTTTACTTGCTTAATTATATTTGTACAATATTTTTATCCATGATGAACCATAAGTAGTTTTTTATACCAAAGAAATTGAGTCATCACTACAAATTCAAATTTTTAAATGCCTTCTGCGTAAACCTTTAATATTTCAAACTTAGATTTTTTGATCTAAAACAATTCATGGATTGAAATATCTTTGCTCTATAACATTGAGTTGCAAAGAAATAGGGATTAGAGTATACAGGGTGTCCCAAAAAACATGGGAATTCAGTGACGAATTCGATATCGTCTTTGTTATGAATTAGCATTGTAATACCTAATTTCAAAAGCCGTAATATTATTATGTCTGCTAGAGTTTATCTAATGAAAAGGGTAAAAGACTGCAATGATGTGTCTATAATGTCTCCGCAAGATGAACAGTGAATACGGACAAGTTTACTCTGTTTGTATACTGCAATTTTCATGTTTTACTAAGTACAACCGGTTGCAGTCAAAACATAAACAAACAAAATGTAAACATAGCAGACGAAACTCTTACAGATTACAGCTTTCTCAGTAGGTATCACTATACTAAATCAAAGAATTATTTAAAAAGACGATCTCGAATTCGTCACTGAATTCCCATGTTTTTTGGGACACCCTGTAGTAGAAAATTTGCTTTAATTAAACTTAATATTTCATTATATGTAAAGATAATTAGAGAAATCTGCTCTAATATTAATATATGTTCAGGATATGATAGAGAAATCTGCTCTAATCTTAGTATATGTTTAGGATATATTAGAGAAATCTACTCTAATCTTAATATATGTTTAGGATATATCATAGAAATCTGCTCTGATCTTAATATATGTTTAGGATATATTAGAAAAATCTGCTCTAATCTTAATATATGTTTAGGATATATTAGAGAAATCTACTCTTATCTTAATATATGTTTAGGATATATTAGATAAATCTGCTCTAATCTTAATATATGTTTAGGATATATTAGAGAAATCTACTCTTATCTTAATATATGTTTAGGATATATTAGAGAAATCTACTCTAATCTTAATATATGTTTAGGATGTATTAGAGAAATCTACTCTAGTCTTTATATGTGTTTAGGATATATTAGAGAAATCTACTCTCATCTTAATATATGTTTAGGATATATTAGAGAAATCTGCTCTAAAGGCAAGGATAATTATTCTCTGTGCTCCTGTATCTAATGTTAGGGAAGAATACAGATTAAAAACTTAAAAACTAAAAAATCAGGGTTTTTGTATATATGTACTCCCCCTCATTTAAACTTCAAGACATATCTCCAATGAAAAGCAAGAAGTATTTGAACTATAAAACTAAGTTGAACCACTTCTCTTGTGTTCAGGTTTAAGTTCAAGAGAAGTGGTTCAACCTGTGACTGAAATTATTCAACGGTTCATCAAGTTTGGTCCCTGAATTTTTTTAAAATCCTAAACAGGATGGGGGGGGGGGTGTTTGATGCCCCTATCACCATGAATTTTGTGACTTTTAATGAATAGTAATTTAAACGATTTTTTTGCGAAAAAAAATAACTTTTTTTCATTTATCGGCTAGGGTACAGGGCGGAAAAAAGTCTGGTATGTGAAAAAAAACCTAAAACAGCCCATTACTTGTTTGTGACTAAAGCTACAGATCTAAACACTATATCTTTGAAAAGCCCTTGAAAAATGCATGTAGAAACATCTGTCATACTTTGATATTTGTTTAAAACAAAAAAAAAAATTTTTTTCATTTTTTTTACCCTTTTTTAGGCATCATTTTTTTCTTTGAGGTGGTCATGAAAAAATGGGCTATGAACATGCATTTCAACCCTATACCTATTCTCTAAAGGACTTTTTCTAGGGGGGGGGGGCGCCAAACGCCCCCCCCCCCAGGCTAGACAGAGATTCAGACCCCCAGCCTTTATAGCGTTAAAGAATAAAATTCGGCAAACTATGAGGTCTGTTGCAAACAAGAACAATCTTGGCTTATCTTGAATTTATTAAATAAAGTTTTATTTCAATATTTTCTTTTTTTATTGTTTAAATTGACTGTATTCAGAGAAATCCTATTGACGGCAAGTGCACTGGGAATGACAGATAAAGGAATAAAGAATTTATTAATTTTTTGCAACTTCTTGCCAAAATTAGATTTATACATTCATTTGTTGAAATATTATTAATTTTATTTAGCTGTCTATAGAACAAGTAATCGACTTGTAGTATTAAAACATGGTTAATATTTCTAATTATAAAATGTAATAAATTCAAATATGTAGGGGAATATGTATTTTTTAATGTGGATCTATTTTCAAGGTAAAAATGATGATATCAAATTTTTTTTTTGAAGATCTGGAGTCGAAAGCATACATTTACCTTTTAAATACGCTATAAACTTTCCAAATTTTAGGGAAAAAAACTATCTTTTGTTTCAAAAATTAATTTACCGTAAGTTTTTAAAGGGAGTGACCGGCTATGTTAAGTAGTTAAACTGAGTATGCAGTGTTGTGGAAAACTTCTTTAGGATACATTTTAGACATATTAAACTTTTTAAAGATCTGTGAATCCGGAGTTTGAGAGCAAATTCGACGTTCAAAACTCCTACTTTGGAGGGTGGATACGTTTTCAGAATCGTTTTTTTTAATTATTAAATAACGACGACGAAAAATAATGTAAAAATTATACAGTAATCTAATTAGATTGTTAGGTAAATATTTCTCAAAAGAAATTTGTCAATAAATCAATGCTAGAATCAATTATTTCGCTTTCATCACTATATTAAATTTCTTATTTTCTTTGAATTTATTCGCAGATTTCTTCAAATTCTTCAAATGTCGTCTTTTCAATAATAATTACAGAAAATCTGCAGAACATCTTTGTGAATTATGAGAAACCAGAATAACGAGAAAATAGAAACTAATAATTGAACAAGATTACTTATTTTCGATGATAAGATTGATTTTTATTTTCTCAACCGGTTCCAAAACAACTAATTAGTTTAATGTAGAGTTTTGTTTACATATTTAATCGTCGTTATTTAATATTTAAAAAAAACCGATTCTGAAAACGTATCCACCCACAAAGTAGGAGTTTTGAACGTCGAATTTGCGCTCAAACTCAGGATTTACTGATCTTTAAAAAGTTGTATATGTCTCAAATGAATCCGAAAGAAGTTTTCCACAACACTGCATACTCAGTTCAACTACCTTACATATCCAGTCACTCCCTTTAAAGTTCAGAACAAATTTGTTCAAAATAATGTCAAATAAATAAATATTTTTGCTCGAAATTGAATTCTAAGTGACTTGTCAAATCAGGACATCTAAATGAGCTTAAATTGTTTAGTGTATCTAAAGCTACGCCATGGTATTCATCTGAAGCAACTGCTGAAGAGAATAATTTGGCCAGGTCAGTAACGGATAATTAAATATTGAAAAGATTACTTCGCTTTGATATGTATTAGTTTGGCTTGATATGAATTATTTTGATTTGGTGTTAATTAGCATGGTATGGTTTGATATGCATTATGGTTTGGTCTGGATTCGTTTGGTTTAATATGCATAATGGTTTGGTGTAGATTATAGTTTGAATTGATATGCATTATGGTTTGGTGTGGATTCGTTTGGTTTAATATGCATAATGGTTTGGTGTAGATTATAGTTTGAATTGATATGCATTATGGTTTGATATGGATTAGTTTCGTTTGATATGCATTATGGTTTGATATGGATTAGTTTCGTTTGATATGCATTATGGTTTGATATGGATTAGTTTCGTTTGATATCGTTAGTTTGGCTTTATGTCGACAACTTTGGTTTAATATTTATTAGTTTTGTTTGGTGTGGATTTGTTTGATTTGGATTAGTTTGGTTTGCTGTGTATTAATTTGGTTCAATATGCAATATTAGCTTGGTTTGGCGTGGATTAGCATGGTTTGGTCATGGATTAGTTTGGTTTGGTTTGGATTAGTTTGGTTTGATATAGATTATGTATGGTTTTATCTGGATTTTGTTTGAAATGCATTAATTTGGTTAATATGCAATATTAGCTTGGTTTACTGTGCTGAGTGGTTCGATATGTATTAGTTTAAGGTTGGATATGGATTAGTATTGTCTGTTTTGTATAAGAATGGTTCGATATGCATTAGATTTGTTTGTTATAGGTTTGTTTGGTTTGGTGTGGATTAGTTTGATTTTCTGTGTATTAGTTTGGTTTGGTGTGGATTAATTTGGTTTGGTGTGGAGTAGTTTGGTTTTCTGTGTATTAGTTTGGTTTTGTGTGGATTAGTTTGGATGCTGTGTATTAGTTTGGTTTGGTGTGGATTAGTTTGATTTTCTGTGTATTAGTTTGGTTTGGTGTGGATTAGTTTGATTTCTGTGTATTAGTTTGGTTTGGTGTGGATTAGTTTGATTTTCTGTGTATTAGTTTGGTTTGGTGTGGATTAGTTTGATTTGCTGTGTATTAGTTTGGTTTGGTGTGGATTAGTTTGATTTTCTGTGTATTAGTTTGGTTTGGTGTGGATTAGTTTGATTTTCTGTGTATTAGTTTGGTTTGCTGTGGATTAAAGTTTGACATCAACAAAGAAAGAATGACATCTATGTATATGACCGTTCTAAGATATCAAAAGTAGGATATAAGTTTCCAATCCAGTCCTTTTAAATATTTGATAAACACTTATTTCTGGCGAAGAGAATTCAAATAAAAGAATTCGAGGAAAATAAGAGTGTTTACATTTGTATATAAACGTCACATTAGTATTCAATATACAAATACATTCATGTATACAGTCAGAGAGGGGAAAACTATAAGAGTGCGGAACTTTTCTAAATTAAAAGTTTGTGACTTCCTTGCCGGGACAATCAATTCTCCCCTGGACAGATTAAAGGGACTGTCATGTTATTTTCAATTGTGTCTCTCCATGCAAATAGGGTAATGTCCGATTTACAACGGTACTCTTTAAACCTTTGACTGTTCATCGAGTAATGAGAGCTCTTTGTTTAAATATCTTAAAACCAGCTTGAATCCCCATACAACTCGGTGTACGCTGTGTAAACTGTACACTTTGACCTCAACACAGCTGATGCGCTATTTGTGTAACTTATCATTTCCGAATAGTACTTTAAAACAGTTTCCGAAAATTCGAAAGAAACTATTTTTTTAACCAATTCTAGATTGTGAATATTGATATTTATAAACTTAAAACAGCTTGTAAACAAAGTCTCTAATAGTTCAATGCTTTGTGTAGATTAATGAGAATAAGTCCCTGCACAACATTGATCAGCCGAGACTCGAGGGTTTTAAGGATACCGTTGTGAATCGGGCATTGCTATCTTTGCATAGAGGATAACTAGATATTGCGCTTACAGTCTCTTTAATATTAATGTTTGTACAGAAGAAATCAAGTTTTCCTCTCAGATTCGAGTGTTTTGAAGAGATCAATGACTCAGAAAAAGGTTTTTTTTAACCAAGTTAGTATGATAAGGTTGCTTACTTTCGATGCACTCCAATGTATACGGACATGTCGTCTTCTTAGCATAGATAGATAAAATCCGCATATGACGTCACTGATTATTATAGAGGCAAGAGTGACATCATATGCGGATTCTATCTATCAATGCTAAGAAGACGACATTTTCCGTGCATTGGAGCGCATCCAGAGTATTCCGACTTATTATGCAATCTTGAATTCAACAGTTACATATAAATTGAGTAAAAATTGCTAAATTCAAAAGTTTCACATGTTTTAACTTGTATGGAGCTGTTCGTTTTTACCAGATAACATACATGTCATGAAATAGTTTTCAACTCTATAAATCTAAATATATTTGAAATTTGTTCTAAAAAACGTGTTATTATTTTTCAGTCAAGCTTTCCAGGCAGTTCTTACAATAACTTCTAAAACAGTGGAGGACTTCGAATTCGCTAATTTCAGGTAAACCTCTTTTCTTGTGTTCCTATAAAACAAAATGTCTGAAACCACTAGGAGAATTTTAAAATAGAAAACTCTGGAATAGGAAGACGACTTTTAGACTATAATTTTGACATTAATGGTTCAATAAACATGAGAAATAATAATTGTGCAGTGTAAATAGACCAATTAAAGTGCTTTAATAAGTTACTAGTTATACTATTTGCTTTGTAACAAGTTATCAACGTCAAATATAATTAATTCTTCATATTCAAGAGTTTTTAGGATCTTACTACATTAAAACAAAAGTGTTAACAGAAAACTTAAAATTTAATAGTCCCCCAAAATAATTAATTTTATTAATATTATACAGTCGTTCCCGAAGTCTCATCCTTGTTTGGTAGCCCATCTAGATAAAATTAAATATAGAATATTACAGGGCGAGAATGAGAGGTGCAGTGGAAAAACTGGAAAATCCTGCCACAAACATTACAGGAATATTTCACTACATTTTACAGTAACTTTACAGGGTTATTTGGTTGAAATGATATTTTGATTTGTTCTAATTTTAGTGAAAACGACTTCAGGAATTAAGATATTTCAAACATAGATTATGTTAACTAACAGAACTCATAGTTTGATATAGGACTATACAACATTGTATTGCAAAGGTATAGGGATTAGGAAATCAAAGTTTTTGGCAAAGGCCGAATTTTTTCTGTCAATGAATATTTTTTTACTTCGCTTAGATCGGGAAAATTACAATTACAATTTAGAAATTTTATTCCACCATAATATATGTATTTGCCGAAACTTAACCATTTCCCGGATTTTCAGGCCAAAATTGGCGCATTTAAAAAAAAATAAACAAATAAAAAATAACATTGATAAAGAACAAACATTGATATGAACATTGATAAAATTGATAAAGAGGTTCTAAGTTCTAAGATGGGTTTTTCCGCCAACCTTTATTTAGTATTTATATATTAGATGTTTCTCGTTTATCACATTACACTTAATTTTCTGTTTTCCAATTTAAACTCAGATTGTACTGTTTAATATTCTCAATTTACCGTTTATTACAGTTTCAATGTTGGTGAAATTAGTTCATAAATCTTCAATATACAATTCAATGCGGTGAAATTAAAGTACACTTTTTTATAAATTATCAATTTTCAATCCAGATGATTCTTCAATTTGTTATTTTCAGGAGAAAAAATAAACATTGATAATACAAAAGAAATGGGATATACTTAGAACATTTTTTTAATAAAACTGTAAATTAATTGAGAAAAAAATCTGTTTCAGGAAATTCATGAAAACATATTTGAAACCAAAAAATGGAGGCAAAATTTGAAAAAATAAATTCAAAAACTGTTGAGCAGTATATATAGTACAGATCTGAAAAAATGGATACAAGAACTGAGAACTGGATACCAAAACTTAAAAAATGGATACAATTAAATTGAGAAAACTTGATTCAAACTGGTGATAGTATCCCCTAGTTAGTACTTATGTTGCCAGCTATCATGATGCTCTAGTTCTCTACTCTCGAGCTCTTAATCAAACTATTCAAGCAACAGGTATACTTATTTTACCACCTTTTCACCAACCATGATTCCCTAAACAGCGGGAAGTTATGTTACTTAACGTCCCTTGGGACAATTAGGTAAAATGACCTCCAGCTCTGCAAAGTTTTCATGACAAAATAGAGGCATTTGCCTCTTAAAAGACTATAAAATTTTGTAAAAATACCCTTTTGACCAATTTTGCCTGCATAACATCCCTCGCTATACGCTCAGGATGTTTTGTAGGCAAAATTGGTTTGGGAACCCCCGGTAAAATAAAATTCCCTGAAAGTAGTTGTAAATAATTTATAATTCTTTGCTTTCAGGGCGCTACCTGTTTACAAATTTCGCTTTTTACTGAGTAGCTCTGAAATTAGACATTTTAAAATCGTTCTAAAATTTTCAAATGATAAATGTCGACATTTTTTTCGGTCTTTCCATACATATTCTCTATAAGGGTCATACAGTATACAGGTTTTGCCATTTTAACTATTCAAACCTGAAAAATATTAATACAAAAACTAAAAAATTCAATAGAAATGTTTTCATTAGATAATAATATGCTTTGAACCACTATGCTTGACTCCAATGCCTTCTTACAGGGAAGATGAGGGGGTGGGGGGCGCGGATCTTATCGTCTGATCATCTTACACCCAAAATTTGTAGAAGCTACATAGGGTTAAACCTTAATTTATCTCCTTTTTTTTGTACAAATGCAAATTAACTAGAATTAACCCATTTCCACTAGAAACGTTTTCTGCGTTTTTGCATTATTAAAATATGCAGATGCAGTGTATGGAATATTTATGAATATTTGAAAATTAGAAATTCAGAATGTTTACTACGAGCCAATCTACTTTTTTGCATTTCAGTTTAACAATTATAAAATATTTAAATTACAAAATTAAAGAATGACATGTCCGATTTAACCTTAAATTTTTAGTTTTCTATCTGATAGTTGATTATTATACATTATGGATAAGATTTGTGCCAGTATTTGTGCCCATTTTGTAATTGTGCATACATTTGTTAACTCTCTCTTTTGCAGTGATTTATTTCTAAGGAAATTACTCTCTAGAGAGAGTTCTATATTCAAGATTCCGAGATACAATATATTTGTCAAACCAGAGTTGTTTATCTTTCATCTTTTCTCCTATCCTTGCAGCCTTGAGAACTGGGTTCTTTTGCAGGGCTAAGAACCTTCGCAATTTTAATCCATAAAATAACCATCCGATTTCAACTAATAATCTTAAACGTTTATCAAGCTGAGAATTAAAGGTTGCTTTTGTATTTTAACGGAATTTAGACCAGCTCTAGGATTACTTCCGATACAACTATGTATAGCATCTTATCATAACACACAGAAAACGGACTGTGGAAGTAATTTCAAGAGACCCTCCACTTATGTATTGACATGTTTAATGACATGTCTGATGTAGAATGAATTTATCTATCCTTATTTTTCTTTTTGAAAATTGAATAATTAGAGGTTTTAAGGGTATGGCTGAAAATGAGACATGGCTACCCTATTAAATTAAGAGTAATGACCAGCATAATTTTTAAATGTAAATAAAGCTAAAAGACACGTTAGCAGAAGAGGGGTGCGAAACGCTCTAAAAGATTTATAGATTTTATTATTCTAAATAATGAAAAGTTTTTTTGCCTTTCACATTTTTGGTCTGTTGTTTGTGTTTGGAGTTTAAATAATGCACGTTCAGAGAAATAGGTTGACTACTAAACTGAACTCTTTGGTTAAGCATTCAAAATCTCAAGGGTTCCTGTAATTTTATCGTGGATATTTGTTCTACAAATTTTTAAGGCATCCCACTGTTAAGTCGAGAAAGTCAAATTTGTGACGCATTCTGTTGAAACTTTGTTACCTCGTAGCTTCTCTAGTTTTGAATATATTGAAGTATGAAAAAGCTTATTTATCCAATTATGCATGTTAGAAGTTCAAAACATTTGTATTCTTCCATTAACTCTTCAGCCTTAAATAATAGGAGTTAATCAAAATATAAACAAACAGACAAACAAACAAACAGACAGACAAGCCAAATTTATATATAGATATAACTCAACCAATCGAGTGGGTTTAGAGAAACAAGAACAGTCAATCAGAGAAGCCGGGAAATTTGAAATTTTGCGCGCCATTTAATTGAGTGAACTCTCATTGGTCGAAAAACTTGAAAGGATTATAACATAAAGAAAAGATGGGATTAAAAGGGAAATCAAAAGTGTTCACATTGGATATTCAGATCTAGCGATAGGGATTAAAGGTATCCAATTCTAAAGTTTTCAGCTCTGAACGTTAAAATTTTTTTTTTTCAATTATTCGGCTTGGTAATATGTGAACTTTGTAAAAACAACCTGCAGATTAATTCTTCAATTGAGCCTATGATTTAAAGGTTTACTTTTGTTTGCCTATTCACTGTAAATAAGTTCTTGAATTGGTTGTGTGATATTAATATATTCATATATTACAGTTGGTGGGAGCATGTCAAAGTATTCAGATTTTCTCCCAGGGGATTCAAGACCCTCACAAACAGTTCTACATACTATATATACATACTGATGATTGCATAAAAGCATGAAACAATTTGTTTATGAATAAAATGTTATAAGAATATTGTTGCGTTTCAACTGATTCATACATATATATACTTTATTTTAAGAATTTATATATACTAGCTAGGGTATCCAACATCGCCAAGGTTTCAAAACTAGTTTAAAAAACTAAAAAAGTACATATAAAGATGTACCAGTAATGTTTATTTGACCTTAACTCCGGTTGTCAAATGGAGCGTGGTCTGCATAGAATTGATTTATGAGGTTTCACAGTGTATCTTCCTTTCTCGATATTATTTAAAATCTTCCTTAATTTATCAATTTTGATTTAATTGAAACATTCCTTTTCATATTTTCTTTTCTGTCTGTTCTGGAAACTCAGACTTAAACCTACAATCTTGTCTGATTTCCAAGAAGCTTTAATATTTCAATTCTTTCAGCAGAAACTTACTTCACGTTAAATAATATTTTGTTTGTTAGACTTTACTCAATGGATGGTTCAAACTTTCAAGAGTTATTTGTCACCAAACAAATTAATTGTTACCTAGTAAACTAATTGTCACTCGGCAACTTATTTATCACCAGGAAATTAGTTGTCACCTGGCAAATTATTTGTTACTTGGGAAAGCATTTGTCACCAGGCAAATTATTTGTCACCTGGCAAATTATTCGTCACCAGGCAAATCATTTGTCACCTGGCAAATCATTTGTCACCAGGCAAATTAATTGTCACCTGGCAAATTATTTGTCACCAGGCAAATCATTTGCCACCTGGCAAATTATTTCTTACCAGGCAAATTAATTGTCACCTGGCAAATTATTTGTCACCTGGCAAATTATTTGTCACAAGCCAAATTAATGGTCACCAGGCAAATTATTTGTCCCCTGGCAAATTATTTGTCACTTGGGAAAGTTTTGTCACATGGCAAATTATTTGTCACCTGGCAAATTATTTGTCACTTGTGAAAGTATTTGTCACCTGGCAAATTATTTGTCACAAGCCAAATTAATTGTCACCAAGCAAATTATTTGTCACCTGGCAAATTATTCGTCACAAGGTTAATTAACCGTCACCTGGCAAATTATTTTCTCCTGGTAAATTTGTTGTCAAGAGCCAAATTATTTGTCACCCTGCAAATTATTTGTCACAAGCCAAATTAATTTTCACCTGGCAAATTATTTGTCACCTGACAATTATTTGTCACCTGGCAAATTATTTGTCACCTGGCAAATTATTTGTCACCTGCAAATTAATTGTCACCAGGCAAATTATTTGTCACCTGGCAAATTATTTGTCACCAGGCAAATTAATTGTCACCTGGCAAATTATTTGTCACCTGGCAAATTATTTGTCACCAGGCAAATTAATTGTCACCTGGCAAATTTTTTGTCACCAGGCAAACCAATTGTCACCTGGCAAAGTATTTTCTCTGGTAAATTTATTGTCACCTGGCAAATTATTTTTCACCTGGCAAATTATTTGTCACCTGGCAAATTATTTGTCACCAGGCAAATCAATTGTCACCTGGCAAATTATTTTCTCCTGGTAAAATTATTGTCACCTGGCAAATTATTTGTCACCTGGCAAATTTATTGTCACCAGGCAAATTATTTGTCACCTCGCAAATTATTTGTCACCAGGCAAATTATTTGTCACCTGGCAAATTATTTGTTACCTGGCAAATATTTGTCACCGTCCAACTTATTTGTCACCAGACAAATTATTTTTCAAATGGAATGACTGTCCAGTGGCAAAGTTGTCACCAGGCAACTTTGTTACATGGCAAAGTACCTCCTGGCAAGGTGTTACATGGCAATCTTTCACTGGCTGCAATTCCCAGCTACGTTGGTTTATATTTAGGTTCTGTATCCAGTAGGAGGGATACACTGGTTTATATCTAGGTTCTATGTCCAGTAGGAGGGATACACTGGTTTATATCTAGGTTATATATCCAGTAGGAGGGATACACTGGTTTATATCTAGGTTCTATATCCAGTAGGAGGGATACACTGGTTTATATCTAGGTTCTATATCCAGTAGGAGGGATACACTGGTTTATATATAGGTTCTATATCCAGTAGGAGGGATACACTGGTTTCTATCTAGGTTCTATATCCAGCAGGAGGGATGGGAGTGCTGTGACTAAAAAGATCTGGGATACTTCCATTAAAGGTAAAGAAACAAATAATTTCCTAGAACCTGTAGAACTCAACTCAGAAACTAGATTAGAGAAGTAAACAAACAGAATATGTCAATTTTTGCAAAAGTTTAATTTAATTACATATTATTCAAAAATTTCAGTGGAAATCGTACTTGTAATCGATTTAAAATTTTTTTTTGCAAATCTAGAATGGATTCAATAAAAGAAAAAATTCAGTAAAACTATCTTTGATTTTGAACACTATTTTTTGCAATTGCAATATACTTTCTTTATGCAGTTAAGAAAAAAATTTAAATAAAAATTCGTAAAAAATGTAATTTTTTCAAAACTTTTTCGGTCAATGATTTTTTATTATTTAGTAATTTTCCTAACTGAACAGATTTTTTTCATGAAATTTCAAACAATAAAAAACTAAAAGAACGTTGTGTTCAGGAGTAACTGGAAATGTGAGTATTGATAAGAATGGTGATAGAAGGGCTGATTTCTCTCTTCTTGATCTTGAACCTAATTCACAAACATTTAGGGACATTTTCAAACAGTTTTTTTAGATTTTGATAATTATCATCAAGGACCTAATTTTAAATATACATGATGTCTCTGAAAAAGTGTTTTTAAGCTTTTTCGCCTACTTAATCGTTTGAATTAAAAAAAATTTTATTCGTAAAATATACCATACTTCAATAGTTACGAGGCCAATATTTTCACATAAATCAGATCCTATTTTTTTTGAAGAAATTAGACTAGTTTATAATTTTAAAGAAATCACATTATTATTTATTTTTGAATAAATCATTTTATTTTATATTTTTGATTTAATCAGCAAGTTTTTATTTTTGAAGAAATCAGACTAGTTTTTTTGAAGAAATCAGACTAGTTCATAATTCTAAAGAAATCAGACTAGTTTTTAAAATGTATTTGTAGAGTTGTTCGGGTGTATAGAGGAACAACTAATACCTTTGAAACTATTGGAGAAATTCACTGGTAAGCAATATTCTTTAGAGAGACTTTTTTTGTTCGTTTAAATGGTGTCAACGTAAAAGTTTTTAAAGCTTTTTTTAATTTCATCAAAACATATCGAGACGAATTTTGCATGTTTGTTTGTTTTTCTTCGTAAATTGTTTGACGTCTGGCAAAAAACTCTAATTTTATTGATTCTTACAATTTAATGTATTTAATTTAGTGTTTGAAACGGATATTTTAACACCCTCTCGATTCGATTACATCTAATAAACTTACTGAATTAAAAAATAAGATTTTTTAACAATTCTTTTAAATTATAATTGGAAAATGACTTTCACAACAATTTACGCATTGCGCAGTAAGGGTGATTGATTTTTGAATTTTTTTTAGAAATCAGCTAACCGCCGAACAGAGGTTTCTGCGTTTTCACTTAGTAAAAATATTGTAATAAAAAAAATCAAAATCGTCCATACGGTTGCGGATTGACGATTTAATATCGGAGAAATAACCGTATTTGGCCTGAAAAAAAATATTTTGAAAAATTCCATGTTTTATGCATTATTTTCTTAGAAATTTTATGTTGAATTCAAATCTGAAGAGCGTTAAAAAAATTGCATGAGTTAGAGCTAGAAAACTCAACAGAAAACATTAAATAGCTTTAAAAGTTTGGACCGTTATTTGGCTATAACTTCTTTAATTTTTTATATTTTTAAAAGCACTTTTCAGATTTAAATTCAGCACAAAATTTTCAAGAAAATAATGTAAAAAATAAAATTTTTCAAAAAAATTATTTTTTTTGTGGGGGGGGGGCTTATAGTGATTTCTCCGATATTAAATTGTCAATTCGCCATCATATTGACGATTTGGAAAATTTTTTTCATTGCAATTTTTTTAAGTTAAAACGCAGTAACTCATAATGGGCGGTTGGCTTAATTACAATATTGATTACCCTTAGTGCGAGGCTGCTTTAAAGATCTTTAGGTAATTTAGACAATTCTATTTAGTATTTTTTAGTCATTCAGGTTCATTAAATTTGTTTCTCTCTTCCTATTGTCTGTATTCTGTAATGAATACACTGTATACATATATATCTAGGAATATTGTAAATGTAAGTTCATGAATATTAAATTATTATTACAACATGTATACTGGAACTGTGGGATATAATTCCAAAATTAACTAATATTTGATTGAAGACAAGTTGTTTAAAATTTTCTGTATGAATAAGACAAACCAAATTGTTAAGGAGACGGCTGTAATTGAACGGTAATCGGTATATATTTAGATTCAAAACTTTCTCTTGTTTATTACCAATAAAATTCAGATTTGAATGACGTGGGGAAATATTAACAATCTGTAAGAAAATGACTTTTAATGTTTATTTTTTGAAAATTATTTTAGTTATTTGTTTTTTTGGTATTACAGAAATTCTCATAAATATTCTAGAAGCGACCCGAGTTTTATCGTTGTATGTTGTTATGTATACACATTTTTAAAGAAACGGTGTATGTCATTATGTTTACACATCCTTAAAGAAACGGTGTATGTCGTTATGTTTACACATTCTTAAAGAAACGGTGTAAGTCGGTATGTTTACACATTCTTAAAGAAACGGTGTATGTCGTTATGTTTGCATATTCTTTAAGAAACGTTGTAAGTCGCTATGTTTGCATATTCTTAAAGAAACGTTGTATGTCGTTATTATGTTTACATATTCTTAAAGAAACGGTGTATGTCGTTATGTTTACATATTCTTAAAGAACGCAGTGTCCGTTTTAAGGAAACCAGCATCAGTAGCAGTTTAATAGCTACGGTTTCTGTTACAAGTAGGAGCTTAATAGCTATGGTTTCTGTTACAAGTAGCAGCTAAATAGCTACGGTTTCTGTTACAAGTAGCAGTTTAATAGCTACGGTTTCTGTTACAAGTAGCAGTTTAATAGCTACGGTTTCTGTTACAAGTATCTACATTGAAAAGCAAAAATATATTATTATATAGAACCAAATATTAATCCTAGTACAGGCTGGAATTCTTAGTCATTGTCAGAGAAAAAACTGGTAAAATATGTTAAAAAAGAAACAATATTTCTTAAATGAACGGTCAGCGCAATTTCAAGTAACCATCCATGCAATGATGATAATGTCCGATATACAACGATACCCTTTAAACCTTTATCTGATCAATAATGTGGAAGATATATTGTCTTTTTAAATGCTTAAAATTTTAAGGTGTTCAATTGGATGTACGCTTATGTAAGGAGCAACTGCCCTCTTTCAAAAGACTAAAAGATGTGACGAGATTGTTAACATTTTTCACAATAATTCTTTTATTTAAAATTTAAAATTTGAATCCAGATTTTTCAAGATGAAGAATTATAATTCCAGGCTGGATTAGGATTAAGAATAGGTTTTACCAAATTGAACATTCTTCCCAAGGAGGAAGGACTAGATGTCTGAAATATAAAATTAATGTTCTCTGTCTGTCTGTCTATCTTTCTGTTTTTTTTGTTCGATCATAACTCAGGAACCCCTGTACAAATTTCCCCCAAATGTTGATTGGAGGACTCGGGAGACCCATGGGAATATTCTTAGCTAGATTGTAGTAAATTGTTGTTGCATTTCTTTAAATAATGTGGTGTTTAAGTGAATTGTTGTTGTAATTCTTTAAATAATGTGGTGTTTTAGTAAATTGTTGTTGTACATTTCTTTAAATAATGTGGTGTTTTAGTAAATTGTTGTTGTAATTCTTTAAATAATGTGGTGTTTTAGTAAATAGTTGTTGTAATTCTTTAAATAATGTGGTGTTTTAGTAAATTGTTGTTGTAATTCTTTAAATAATGTGGTGTTTTAGTAAATTGATGTTGTAATTCTTTAAATAATGTGGTGTTTAAGTAAATTGTTGTTGTAATTCTTTAAATAATGTGGTTTTTTAGTAAATTGTTGTAATTCTTTAAGTAATGTGGTGTTTTTGTAAATTGTTGTTGTAATTCTTTAAATAATGTGGTGTTTTAGTAAATTGTTGTAATTCTTTAAAAATGTGGTGTTTTAGTAAATTGTTGTTGTAATTCTTTAAATAATATGGTATTTTAGTAAATTGTAGTTGTAATTCTTTAAATAATGTGGTGTTTTAGTAATTTGTTGTAAATCTTTAAATAATGTGGTGTTTTAGTAAATTGTTGTAATTCTTTAAATAATGTGGTGTTTTAGTAAAATGTTGTTGTAATTCTTTAAAGAATGTGGTATTTTAGTAAATTGTAGTTGTAATTCTTTAAATAATGTGGTGTTTTAGTAAATTGTTGTTGTATTCTTTAAATAATGTGGTGTTTTAGTAAATTGTTATAATTCTTTAAATAATGTGGTGTTTTAGTAAATTGTTGTTGTAATTCTTTAAAATTTAAATAATGTGGTGTTTTATTAAATTGTTGTTGTAATTCTTTAAATAATGTGGTATTTTAGTAAATTGTAGTTGTAATTCTTTAGATAATGTGGTATTTTAGTAAATTGTTGTTGTAATTCTTTAAATAATGTGGTGTTTTAGTAAATTGTTGTTGTAATTCTTTAAATAATGTGGTGTTTTAGTAAATTGTTGTAATTCTTTAGATAATGTGGCGTTTTAGTAAATTGTTGTAATTGTTTAAATAATTTGGTGTTTTAGTAAATTGTTGTTGTAATTCTTTAAATAATGTGGTATTTTAGTAAATCGTAGTTGTAATTCTTTAGATAATGTGGTATTTTAGTAAATTGTTGTTGTAATTCTTTAAATAATGTGGTGTTTTATTAAATTGTTGTTGTAATTCTTTAAATAATGTGGTGTTTTATTAAATTGTAGTTGTAATTCTTTAAATAATGTGGTGTTTTAGTAAATTGTTGTTGTAATTCTTTAAATAATGTGGTGTTTTAGTAAATTGTTGTTGTAATTCTTTAAATAATGTGGTGTCTTAGTAAATTGTTGTTGAAATTATTTAAATAATGTGGTGTTTAAGTAAATTGTTGTTGTAATTCTTTAAATAATGTGGTGTTTCAGTAATTGTAGTTGTAATTCTTTAAATAATGTGGGTTTTAAGTAAATTTTAGTTGTAATTCTTTAAATAATGTGGTGTTTTAGTAAATTGTAGTTGTAATTCTTTAAATTATGTGGTGTTTTAGTAAACTGTAGTTGTAATTTTTTAAATAATGAGGGTTTTAAGTAAATTGTTGTTATTTTTTCTAAATTTCTTCACGTGGTACATTTCTGATGAAATTCTTTAGAGTAGTGTTGTTGTACTTCTGTAGTTGTTGTAAACTGTTGTTATTTTAGGCCTGGTAGAGATGGGCCTCCACAGGATATTCCAAGGTATGTTACAGAGTTGTTAATCGTTTTGTTTCGGTTTTCAGGGTTGTTGGACTTTTAAAAGATTCCACAAAATTTTAGAGGCTTTATAAATCTGAAAGTTATTTTTCCACACATTTTTTTTGTTTTTCTGACACTATGCCAAATTTGGACTCTGAAAGGAAATATATGAAAAAACGAACCTAAAACGAACTAAAAACGATAGTTATATAAGGGTCGTTTTTAGTTTTTTTCTTTACATTAGCTCTTAGGACAAAAATATTATTTGGTTTAATAAAGCAAATTTTAACAAAACGCAGTTCTGTAATGTCGGAATTATATTAAAAGTTTCAAAAATCGAACCAAAACGCTAACAATCCTTGTTATTATGTATCTTCCTTTTTAAAGAAACCTTGGGATGAGCAAAATTTAAAAATGTTTTCCAATAGGTTTGTTAACTTGTTTTTCATTTCGTTTGTTCATCGTTCGTGAACGACCCATTTCGTTCGTTTTTTTCAATCCTTCGTTCTTGTAATTATCGTTGATTTTCCACCTATTTCCCTCGTTTTCTCACTAAACGTTCGTTGAGTAGAATCGTTCACTCAAAAATTTTCATTCAGTAAAATCGTTTGTTCGGAAAACAACTATCCTTCTTTTCAAAGTTTGTTAAAAAGAATCATTAGTTCAGAAAATAATATATATATTTTTTTGATTTTGAAAAAATAGTGCATTCGATAGTTTTATCAAGATCGTTTAAACAACTTTAAATTATTGGCTCTTGTTTTCTTTGTTTGTTTTTAAAATTATCGTTATTTCTCTGAATGATCCAAGTCGTTCACCCGTTTGTTCATTTTTTTCTGAACGACACCATTGTTAACAAAAAATTTTGTTCGTTTTCATTTCAAAAGCATGCTATTACTATGCAAAGAGGCTTTCTAGACATGGTCAAATCGATTATCATTCTTTAACCCTTTATTTTATTATTCAAAGTGAAATTTTTTGTGTTTTAAATCTGCTCATAATTCAACTAGTCGGCTTAACTAACCCTTTACGGCTTCAGCGTCGGACACAGCCAAGTCTTTCTTTCAGTCATTGTTGACTTATTTTGTAAATCCACGACCCCAGAATTAATTTCAAATCCTTAAATTTAAAAGTTAACATTGTAGAGTGTAGATATTTATGTGGCTTAATGATATTCCAATCAAAAGTTTTAGTCTCTGTGCTCAGAAAATTATTTTTTCTCTCTCTTATACAGGGAGAGTAATAACACCGGAACTATCATTAATTTTGACGAAAATTAAAGATTTTTGTTTTTTTTCGGACTTTAGGCATAAAAAATTTAAATATCATAAAAAAAATTCAAAAATATTTCTGAACCGTGGAAAGAAAATCCACAAAACGAAATCTTTTTGAAACTATTCATGAAAATACATCAAAAATTAAATGACATATAACATAATTTGCATTTTTGAAGTTCTAATTGGTTAAAATTTGATATAATTTGTAACAAATCCCCATATTTGTTAATCTGAACATACCTAGATTATCTAAATAACATGATTAACACATGCATTGTGACTAGATTAACTATGTTTATATCTATCAATGTTAATTTTCTATAACGTACATTCAACTTAAATTACGCTGTAAACATGTGTAAAGATAGGTTAACTACGTTATATCTATCTTTGCTTATCTTATAAATACGTACATTAAACCCATTCAATGTGCGTAAATATATTTAACTAAGTTATATATAACAGAGTAAAACTTGTAATTACACTGTTAAAGACCCAATTGTAATCAAAACTGAAGAAATATATACCTTAATTGATATAGTAACTCCACACTGATTAGTGCGAGAGAGTAATCGTTTCCTGTTTTAACAAACAGGTTAAGGATCCCCCCCTCTAATATGGGATCGATAGTTACAATCTTCCGATTGATACCGATGGCTAACAAGATTGCCCGCATTTGTAGTGACATTGATAGATCACAAGTTTATATCCGTGTGGTTCCCTTTTTTGATAAGCAGGTTGAGGATCGTCCCCTTTAATTTGAGTACAATAGTTGCGAGCTTCCGATTGATATTGATAGCTAACGAGATTGCGCCCTGTGGTAGTGGCGTTGATAGATCACGAAATTGTATCCGTGTGGTTCCCTGCGTTAATAAACAGATTTAGGATCGTCCCCTTTAATTTGGAATCAATAGTTACGGGTTTGTATTCCGGTTTAAACATTGATAGCTAAGTGAAACTGAACTGTACCTGGATAGATACGTGTTAGAAAACCATTCTGGAGTAGGGTATTTACTACAGGTTTACTGCAGATTTCCACGCTAAATCTTTGTGGATTTTATATTGTATCTCATTCAATTTTAATGAATTTTCATTAAATTTTGGAATCCGAACAAAACAGTTGGAAAAAGTCTAAAACATCGATAATCCCGTTTTTTTTGGACTCACCCTGTACATGAGAATATTTACTATTAAGAGCTAAGAGCAAAGATTGCAATAAAACAAAGAAAACTCGGAAAAGTTCTATTTGCAGATTCTTAACACCGTTCACTATATCTACACTATACTACCTAGTAAAAATACTTTACAAGATTAAACCAAGAAAAGTTCTGTTCCCTTGTAAATATATATAAATATTTTTAAACAGAAACCTATCAAAGAAGTAAAATAAAATATTTTGCAACAATTTTTTTTTTTTTAAGTCTGATGTTCTTGTGTTACAACAATACGTTTGAATGCAGACTTATTGAGCGACCACCCATACGCTTGAGTATTTAACATTTTTAACCCTTAAAGTATGTTTGAAGAGAAAAGTGTTTGATTTCATGTAAGATATATATGTCAGAAAACATTTTCTAAAAATAAATTGGATTTTAGATTGGAATTCAAGTAATTGTTTGAACCTTATATTGTAGACTTTTATATTTAAAAAATTAATTATATGATCAAATAGCCCGAGTTTGAAATATCAAAGCTTTTCACCTTTGGTTGCAAAGATATTATGATTAGAAAATTGAGTGTTTATTAAAATACTTTAATTAGAATTTTTCTTGGTATGAACCATTAACTAAACTTGACCCTTCCCCCACACAACACCTTTTAAAAAATAAAAAAGTACCCCCCCCCCCTCCCCCATCCCATATAAAAATAAATCCTGTTTGTTTGTAGTTGCGGGTTTGACGGATCCCTGTGTGAACCTGTTTCTGCTCCAATTCTACCAATTCTACTCGCAGGGAATATATATTCCTCACAATATTATTCTACACAAAAATATATATCGTTTTAATATAATTCTTTAAAATTAATTATCAAGAAATTGTTTTTGACCAATCAGAAGTTTATTAAAACGCGCTGTGGAATATATTTAAATACTTAATCCCTTGAATTGAAAAGGCTTAGTTTAAAAGTTTTGACTTGTGTAATATTTATGCTGCTGATCAGTATCATTTGGATTAATTATATCTCTTCTTGCTGTTTCTGTTTTCACATACAAGCACTACAAGGTATAATCTTTTTTATCTATTTTAAAGGGGTATTTTTACGTTATTTTGATTGGCCCCTTATTTGTTTAATTCTATATTTCTAATTTACTACCTTACCCTTCTTTTTATTATCGAGGACTGAAAAAAATGCCAGACTACAAAATGAGACCCGATAAACTTGATGTTAGAGTTAATTCACCCCTGGCTAAAACTTGGATGATCCGTGCCGGTACAAAATGCACTGTAAATGCAGTCGTACTGTCCTGGAACATAGCAAAAATATGTTCCTTTGTATGTAGGTTTATTGACCAATTTTATTTGACGAATAGATTGAATATATATATTCAATTAGTTAATATCATTAATGTTGGCAATGTCTTTAATCAATAAAAACTGTCCATAGTTTTCACCTGTCATGGATTTCAAAAAAAAAAATTTTTGATCTAATATCCTTCTTTTATCCTCTCCACTATATAATTTATACTCAGCTTCACAAATGTCCAAATATCAAGTTTGAGTTGACAGTAGAGATCTGGTTTCCTGCAAACAGAAATGGATAATATCAAATTGAAAAGAGAAAAGAACAAGAAAATATATTTTAAAAATGAATAAATGCATTTTGATTATTATTGTTTGTTTGAAGGTTCCAAATTATATTTCTAATCAAATTTAGTGTTTCGTTTTCAGCAAAGATTATCAAAGTTTCAGGGTTCCTTTAGATTATATTCGAGATTCAAAAATTTAATTTGATATTTCACTGTTTGTAAACGTTATGTAGAAACTAACCAATTATTTTATACCATTCGCATGATAAGCTGCAGTAAAGATCAAGGAATTAGAAAATTAGAGTTGAGGATATTGTTCAGTTCCGGTATGGTCACTAGACTAATATCAACGATAGAAGGATTACAAATCCTGGTTATATAATCTTAACCCCATACCCTCCTTCTTCAAAGAAACATTAGATTCAACTCTCATGGGCCTCGATCAACTCCAAAAATGCTTAGGTTTCAGCCATCGAGATATTTCAGCCTATATCTCCTTTTATTTTTCCTTTATAGTCCCTTTAAATAAGTAATTATTTTAGGAAGAGGCCGACATTGCTTCCATGACTTGGAAAATTGATATACAGGTTTTAATTTTTATCAGTCTCTTTATTTCATGTAAGCAGTTAAAAGAATAAACCAACTATAAAAAACGGTTAAAATATGATATTTATATCTATATTTTTGTTCTTCTAAATTCTCGTGAACTATAATTCTTTAAGCAGATATAAATCACTAAAAAAGGTGTTGGTCAAACTTTGACACATAACATATATATATATATATATATATATATATATATCTCAGCTTTTAAACTTCACATTTAATTAAAAAAGAATTATACTAAACATATTAATGTTTTACGTCTCATGACGATCCTAAGTAGTAACAATTCTTTGAATAACTATGTATATCTATTTATAAATTAAGCTTGTCTGTTTGGGTGTCTGTTTGTTTGTTTGTATCCAATAAAACGTCAAAACGGCTGAACCGATCGGGCCCAAATTTTTTGTGGGACATCACGTGACCACAAAGAAGGTTTATGAATGTTAAATATTTTAAAAAATGTGTTTTAAATGTTTTTAATTTTGTAAAAAAATTTGAATTCTTAAAAATCCGCGAATTTTTTTTTAAAAATCCGCAAATTTTTTTCTTCTTTGTTTTAAAATGTAAACGAAAAGAACATGTTCACAATTTGAATAGAAGATGGGCGCGAAGCGCCCTAAAAGCCTAGAAAGAAGGGCACGAAGCGCCTTGAATTTCTAGTATATATATAGTCATATATATAACTTGATTGAAGTATTTTCACATGTTTTTATTATTGCCTGCAAAATGTTTCTTGTTTTTATCAATCTCTTCATGTATTGAGCAATTAGAAAAAATTAACGACAATCAAAAGTTAACCAATGCACTATTTTCCAGGATTTATAAAATAATTCATTTTTTCATAATTATAGTATTTTGTTATATTTAGGATATTTTATCTAACAATAGACAACCTGGGCAAAAACGGAGTAGTCTTATCAGGAAACATTTTATTCCAGAATCAAAAAAAGTTTTGTAGTTTTTGTAATCCTCCATTTAAAGGGAGGAATCGCGCACATTTCTAGCTTGAAAAGTGTTTAATTCTGATAATTTCTCCAGTATTTCTGAAACCACGAATGAAAAAAATCAGTAGTTAAAGACAAAAACATGGATATGTAATTCATAATTGATAAGAAAAAGATTTAAAGGGTATCGTTGTGAATCGGAAATTGTTTGATTAATTGATTGGAAAACAACAATTTAAGTTTGTCATAAATTTCAAACAGTTATATTTCACGAAAACAATAATCTGAAAGTTTGATATAACCAAATAGAATAGAATATATATTAGAGTGAAATTTACCAAAAAAAAGTGTTCAACGGCCATTTTGTTGTACTGTTTCCATACTGCATGCAAGGTGTACTTCAGATATTTGTGCTATATAACCTTTTGGGCCCTGGAACATCATTAATTTTAATTAATATTAAAAGAAAACCAAATTATGAAATATGCTGGTTTTATAATTGACCAATGATCATTTCACATAGACTATATGCCTTTCACTTTACAAACGATGATTTTCCTTTACAACTATAAATCAAATGATGTTTTTTATTCACCTAATTCATTTCATAGAGTTTATTTAAAAGCTTTAAAAAATTCAAAATTGAAATGGATAGTCCTGGGAACATACTGTATTAATGTACTCTACTGCATATAATTTGTGAACAATTCCATGCTTTGTACACTTTGAACTCCCTTTGAAAAAATTCAGGGATTGTTTAAATTCCACTCTAATATATATTTTATTCTCTTTGGATATAACATGTTAAAAATGTTGAATAAAATGTTCAACAGTATGACAAGTACGGAGAGTAATCAGGAAAGTTGGATTATATTATTATTACCCAGACAAACAGATTATACATGGTGAACCACAAAGAATGAGCCTGCAGTTCATTGTTCATACAGAGTAATTCAGTCGTTTTCCCAAAATTTGTAGAATTCTTTGATTCGTTCACGTTCAAGCTATAACAAAAATATGTATTGAAGTTTCAAATTATTTTTAAAAAGGATTTTTGAAATTTGAGATTATAACTTTTTGGATTTGAAACAAAAAAAACTTATTTAATGGCCGTTAAAAGTTAAATCAGTATTTTTACTTATTTGAGAAATAATCCTTGTTCACTACAGGAGCATAGAGGACAAGTATATGTTAGGAAATCAGAGAAAATTTAAAGTTTTAATAATACCCGAGATAGCAAGGATTTATCAAATTTGGTGACCATTTCTTTCCTGTACAATGGCACCCATAAAACTGACTCTAGTTATAATGTTGATGATTTTAATAAACCTTATAAAATTTGTTTATAAATTGATTTTTATGCTTCTGGCTAAACTACGCATTTCATAACAACATAAAATACACAAATATTGCTTTAATGGCGTTGTCGTCTTCCTATTCCATGGTTTAATGGGTCTCACCGTGTAACTTATTGGCTTGATTTTATTATTAGTATTATTTACTGACTGAAGGGCCCGGCATTGCCGGCCGTGGAAAAATAAAAAATAAAAATTTTGAAAAAAAAAATTCGAAAAAGAAACTTGGAATTTTTTCAGCCTTTAACACCCCCAGGCCACCCATGAGTGTCCACAAAAAATGTCAGGCCAATCGGTCCAGCCGTTTGGCCGGCTATACGCTTTTTATTTGCTCTTATGTTCTGATTAGAACTGGATACTATAAGGGAACTGTTGTGGCGTTGAAGAGAATTAGCGCAGACAAGATTACGTTAAATAGACGTCTGCTACTAGGAAAATAAATACTGATATTTTTATTCCATTTGAACAAGAACTTGATTGGATAAAATTGCCACAAAAAATATCATTATAATTTATTTCATTTTCTTTAAATATGTCAAATTTTTTCCCTTGCGGAAGATGAATGGAATAACAACTTAAAAACGATCGAAAAAGATTTTAAAACGTGTTGTAAACGAAACTTTTGAATCGTTTTTCAATTTTTTTTTCTTTTACAAAGGTTAAATTTTAATAAAGCAAACTTTAAAATTTTACTATTTTTAAAATTTTAAAGTTTTATTGATTTTTTTCTAAAAACGATTAACAAAGCTAGACTTCAAAGTAAAATAAACATTCAGTGTTTTTTCTTAAGATTTGAAGAAAATGAAAGACCTACAGTATGACCACCTTGGTGAGATATATTTTTTATTTGAATAATAGTACTTAAGCTTTTTAATTGATTTGATAACGCCATGACAATGTATTAATCAAAAAGCGTAAAAGAACATTTATAAAAGTACACATATAAAATTAACAAGAAAGAGTACAACAGTTACAGATAATACAAAAGTAAGAGTACATATATAAAAGCCAGAACAAATATTAGAGTACAAAGTACTCAATGAAAAGTACAAACAATCGGCACGGATTCTAGGCACCCAAGCATATATGCTTCTCAAAATAAGAGGTTTATTCTTCAAGACTGATTTACTTTAGATGCCTGAGGCAAAAAGTGTTATTTATGATATAAAGGAACTGAATTTTTGCCCCATACTAATAGTTTCTGATTCCTATATCTTTGCAATATAATGGTGTGAACCTTTGATATTTAAAACGTAGATTATTTGGTTTAACAGAATTCATGATTTTAATAATCTAGAGCCTGTGGTGTTGGCCTGCAAAGATATATGAATTTGTGATTTTGAATTTGTACAGTCATTACCAGAAAACTCTAAAACAGAACGAAGACTTTTAGAATAAAGTTATAACTTTTAAAAGTCCAATGAACATGAGACAAATTAATTGTGCAGTGTAAACAAACCAATTTAACTAAACTAAGTATTTAAGTGTCCTGAGGTGGAATTTAAAGAATTTAAGCCGCGGTTTAAATCTGCCAAAACCCGGTTTAAATTAAGCGCCGGCCTAAATCTTGAAACATTTGATACAATTTTAAGTGGAACCAACAATATTTAAGCCGCGGCTAAAATTTAAACCGCCGCTCAAATTCTTTAAATTCGGCCACTGTAAAACTATTTTCTTTACTTAAGTATTGCTCTATTCCATTATTTTCTAGTTATCACTATATACACACACAATATTACTTTATTTCAACTGATTAACATTTGTACTGCTTCAGTTAGGTTTGTTGGAGCCTGTATAGATCCCTACCAACCTATGCTTATCACAGAATACTGTCCCCGTGGTTCCCTACAGGTATATAGTTGTATTAAAGGTACTGTATATATCCCTACCAACCTATGCTTATCACAGAATACTGTCCCCGTGGCTCCCTACAGGTATATATAGTTGTAGTAAAGGTACTGTATATATCCCTACCAACCTATGCTCATTACAGAATACTGTCCCCGTGGCTCCCTACAGGTATATATAGTTGTATTAAAGGTACTGTATATATCCCTACCAACCTATGCTCATTACAGAATACTGTCCCCGTGGCTCCCTACAGGTATATATAGTTGTATTAAAGGTACTGTATAGATCCATACCAACCTATGCTCATTACAGAATACTGCCCCCGTGGTTTTTATACTATGCACAGTAACGCAGTTTCAAGAACTGTACGGCACTGTACTGTAATGTACTATACTGCACTGTACTGTAATGTACTATACTGCACTGTACTGTAATGTAATTTACTGCACTTCACATCAAAAGTACTGTACTTTATTGCAAATTTACTGCAATTGTACTGTACTTTAAATGTATATACTGCAGGATATCCTGGAAGAGGAAGAGATGGACCTGGATTGGGATTTCAGATTCTCTCTTATAAATGATATTATTAAGGTATCAAAATATATTCTCTAAAAAATAATCTGAACTTAATTTTTAAATATGGTATTGATCATAATTGGTGGAAAACATACAAACGTTAGAATCAGTTTGTCAAGTATTTATAGAAAATGGAAAAGAAAGTAGATTTTAAAACAAACTAACCCATGACCGTATGAGTGCTCTATTGATATAATATGGCCTCCAAAATGACCACTTGGAGGTCGAAATGGGCAGTTGTGACCTCGGGAGTCAAATTTTCGAGAAAAAGATTGAAAATGGATTTACCCCTGTTTAGACACCCCTGACGACGTTTGTGTGCTATTAATATAATTTGACCTCCTAAAATGACCCCTTAGAAATCAAATTTGTGGATAATGACCTCCGTGGTAAATTTTTTCAAAAACCAATATCATTGTTGAAACATGCATATGCTTTTACCTATAAAACGATACCTTGGACGGCTTGTGCTCTCTAAGACATAAGTTTACATTTGAGAATGTGTTATTTTTTTGCGTGAACAGTCCCTTAGAAGGCCCCTGAAAAAAACTTACAACATTTTTGGCCTATTTAAATACCTAATACCTTGAAACTATCATAGAAATGGACTAAAAACAAATGAAAGCGTGAACATCATTTCTAAAGTAAAAATATTATTAATTAAAGTGATGACTTTTTAAAAGTTTTTTTTTGTAATTTCAGATTAACAAAAAATGTTTTATTTTTTTTTACCCTGGTGGGTTAGATAAAAAAATTTGATTGAAATAGCGAGCTGTGGATTGTACCAACTGATTTCAAAAAGAAAATTTCAAAAAAAATTATTTTTGTGGTCTGGGCAAGGTTAGTACGGAGGTACCCGTAGCTCTCTTTTCGTTTTTTTTCAATGCATATTTTTTAGATTGCTCTAGCTTCAAAAGTAATAATCGCTGATCCAAAATTTTAGTTAAAAATGAAACCTAAGACTAACAGCTTATGATTTTTAAAAAAAAAATCGAACATCTTTAAATTTTTCCATACTTTATGAACGAATGAAAATGAGACGTGAAAAATCGAAAAATTGAAAAATCCGGGAAATCGATTTTCGACTTACGCTCAAATTATTGGTTGTAACAAAAAAGTATGAGGCCTAGAAAGAAAAATTTCACATCATGAAATAACTGACATATAGAGCTTTCGAATGACACCTTGATTGTAAAAATTGAACAAAAATTGTTTCCTCAGTTACTAAAACCCCTACTCCACAGTTTTTTTGAGACACCCTGTATATAGATTATACTTTTCGGAGAACAGAAATTCACTTTCAGATTTTTCCATTAAGTGAATCTGAGGTCGGATTTAATGAAAAGCGCAAACAAGTTTTACTATAGGCAGTTCAAATTCATTAAACTCGGCTCCTGCTTACCTTTGCAATTAAGTTTAAACTAATTATTTCATTTTCATGATTTTATTCCAGGGCCTTGGGTTTCTTCATTCCAATGAAATAGGCACGCATGGAAACCTGAAGGTAATTTTTTGAAATTGTTACAATTGTAATATTTTGATTTTATTGTAAATTTTCCCATATGTTTTGTGAATCATTTTAAAAATAACCTATCGGAACTTTCTTTTCCCCTCTGTATTTAACATAATATTACTGAACCTACTGCAAATTGACGATTTATCTTAAGATTTACGTGGGTAATTTTTGCACCTTCACAAAAAAAAAATTAGTTGGTTAAAGAGTTAATTTATAACTCTGTCTGTCTCAGGCCCCATTCTAGTGGTTCAAACGGGTTGTCAAATTGATATATAAAGCAAATCGGTCAAGGGGTTTGGAGATTTATGAAGGAACATCCAAATGTTAGTCATACAAATAGATAAAATTATTGTCCACACAATTTTCAAAACTTTGATAATTTTTATAATAATACTAATTTTAGTCCTCTAACTGCGTGGTAGACAGTAGATTTGTTCTTAAACTCACAGATTTTGGTCTTCATGAACTGAGGTAAATAAACACTTTACAGTCTATCACACAGACTAACACAGACTGCTCATAAGCACTCATTGGAGAGACCACCCATTTCATTTTACAATTTTTTAAGCAAATATTCTAACTTTTAACATAAGACATAAATGTGCAAATAGTGAAAGATAATGTGTGCTGTTTAGTGATAGATCATATGTACTTTACAGGGATAGATCATATGTAATATACATTAGAAGATCATATGTGCTGTACAGTGATAGACCATGTGTGCTGTACATTGATAGATCATCTATGCTATATAGTGATAGATCATATGTACTGTACAGTGATAGATCATGTGTGCTGTACAGTGATAGATCATATGTGGTGTACAGTGATAGATCATATATGCTATATAGTGATAGATCATATGTACTGTACAGGGATAGAATGTGCTGTAGAGTGAGAGATCATGCGTGCTTTACAATGATAGATTATATGTGCTGTACAGGGATAGATCATATGTACTGTACAGTGATAGATCATATGTACTGTACAGGTATAGATCATGTATGCTGTACAGTGATACATAATATGTACTGTACACTGTACAGTATACAGTGATAAATTATATGTGCTGTACAGTGATACATCATATATGTGCTGTACAGTGATACATCATATATGTGCTGTACAGTGATACATCATATATTTGCTGTACAGTGATACATCATATATATGCTGTGCAGTGATACATCATATATGTGCTGTACAGTGATACATCATATATGTGCTGTACAGTGATACATCATATATGTGTTCAGTGATACATCATATATGTGTTGTGCAGTGATACATCATATATGTGCTGTACAGTGATACATCATATATGTGCTGTGTAGTGATACATCATATATGTGCTCTACAGTGATACATCATATATGTATGTAGATTGTAGATACATGATTAAATCGCGTACTTCCATCCCTCTATTACAAACTATCCAACAAAATAGTTCAAACTGCAAGTAAATTTGAAAATTAGAAAATACTGACTCTCCATTTTAAAATTGATTTTTTCATCCATTTTGCAAACAATTTGAAAATCACTCGTGCTATAGTGGTTTGCAAATTCTGTGAATATCTGGCAAGCATAATTTACAAAAGTCAAATCATTCTTCGACATTCGAGATTTCGAGAGCTGAGCTCCCAATCCCCAAAGTCTCCCCTGTGTACGCCTCTGACTTAAGGATCTATCTATTTATTAATGCAATATTTTTATCGTTTAAAAATTAGGAATAATCAAATTCTTTTGTTTAGAATAAGAGTTCAAAGACACAGTTACAAATCCCTTTTTACTAGTAAAGGGTAATAACAGAGATAAGAGAGGTACAGAGATCGATTATCATCTAAAATATGCGATATTTTCCACAGCATAATCTATTGTGTACAAGTACTGTACACGACCAATCAGCAAACATCTGTATTCAGGGAGATTTAAGGATCCCTTGGATACGAAACAAAAAATCTTCAAAAAAATACTGAATTCTTAAATGTTATGTTTCATGTTTGTAGTTTTGTAAATTTGTAGTAATACTTTAAAAATTGTAAACTTAATCCCTTAGTTGGTATTATATTCAACTTGTGGCACTCTAATAACCTATCGTAAAAACGAAGCATGTCGTGCCGAGTCAACTTGGCCTACGTAGCCTACCCTGTGAATAGAGATAAGCAGTCTGTGTAGTCTGTGGGTGATAATTAAAAAAAATCTAAATATCACCTAATAACCCCCCCCCCACTAACCTTTTTAGGTGTGTCGAATTACGATGTTATTCTTTTAATATAGTCAATCTCCCAACTGAACTGGGGAACAATTAATTCCATTAATTAGTGCTGTTTTTTATACGAATAAGAATAAATATAAGAATAAGTAAGTTAAACTTAAATTATAATTATCATGAAACACCACTATTTGGCAATTTACACTCATCCTTTTTAGACAATAAGTTAATTTCAAGTTACTGGTAAAACTTTCTGATTTATATCAATACCAATTATGCACAAAATATTGTTTAAATGTCGTTTTCCTAGTCCACATTTTTATGGACCTCACTGTACTTTAGGCAGATTGATGACAGTGTTAGTCCAAACAGTTACCAATGTTGGAAAAGGTAATTTTTATGGGTTTTTAAAAGTAGGAAAAGCAACATATTTGATCCATTATCTAAACATTCTAATTTTTTTCTAGAGTATACTTTAAAATTGTTCAGACAAATTTAATTCTTTTCTAGAGTATCCTTTAAATTGTTCAGACAAATTTAATTCTTTTCTAGAGTATACTTTAAAATTGTTCAGACAAATTTAATTCTTTTCTAGAGTATCCCTAAAATTGTTCAGACAAACTTAATTCTTTTCTAGAGTATCCTTTAAAATTGTTCAGACAAACTTAATTCTTTTCTAGAGTATCCCTTAAAATTGTTCAAACAAACTTAATTCTTTTCTAGAGTATCCCATAAAATTGTTCAGACAAACTTAATTCTTTTCTAGAGTATCCCATAAAATTGTTCAGACAAATTTAATTCTTTTCTGGAGTATCCCATAAAATTGTTCAGACAAATTTAATTCTTTTCTAGAGTATCCTTTAAAATTGTTCAGACAAATTTAATTCTTTTCTAGAGTATCCCATAAAATTGTTCAGACAAATTTAATTCTTTTCTAGAGGTTCCTTTAAAATTGTTAAGACAAATTTAATTCTTTTCTAGAGTATCCAGTCAAATTTAATTCTTTTCTAGAGTATCCCTCAAGATTGTTCAGACAAATTTAATTCTTTTCTAGAGTATCCTTTAAAATTGTTCAGACAAATTTAATTCTTTTCTAGAGTATTCTTTAAAATTGTTCAGACAAATTTAATTCTTTTCTAGAGTATACTTTAAAATTGTTAAGTCAAATTTAATTCTTTTCTAGAGTATCCTTTAAAATTGTTCAGACAAATTTAATTCTTTTCTAGAGTATCCTTTAAAATTTTTAAGACAAATTTATACTCTGATCTGATAGAATAGAAGACACTGAGAGAGATAACATTTTTCATGATGTAAAGCAAAGGAATTTAGTCTTTGCCACAAACTCTTATTTTCATATCCCAATATCTTTGTAACCCAATGTCGTAGATATTTTAAACCATGAATTCTATTAGATTAGATTATCTAAGTTTGAAATACCCAAGTTTTACACCATCAGGTTGCAAAGATATAGGGATTAGAAAATTCTAGTTTGTGGTAAAGACTCTGAAAGAAGACTTTTTTTCATAGTTTAAAGCAAACTTCTAGAAATGTGTTTAATTGTAGTTTAAAGAGATTGTTTAAAAGCAGGAAAATTTATTAGTGCCTTGAACTAATCACTTCACAGTCTACACTCTACATAACTTCAATTTTGACTTCACCGCTAAACTCAAATGTGAAAAAGAATTTATGGGCAATTATTACTAATTATTTAAATAGTAGAAATACTGTATTTTTTCAAAAATATTTCAAATAAAAACATCTATGGGTCTCCGGTCCGATACAGATTGATATTGTCTCTGTTAATGCGAGAGATTAGTTTAGAATTATCATCAGATCTTCTTCAAGTTTGATTTTTCTAACTATGGACAGCTCCAGAGATCCTTAAATATATTATGTTTATGTTTAGTAAACTATGGACTGCTCCAGAGATCCTTAAATATATTATGCTTATGCTTAGTAAACAATGCACTGCTCCAGAGCTCCTTAAATATATAATGTTTATGTTTAGTAAACTATGGACTGCTCCAGTGCTTCTTAAATATCTTATATTTATGTTTAGTAAACAATGCACTGCTCCAGAGCTTCTTAAATATCTTATATTTATGTTTATTAAACAATGCACTGCTCCAGAGCTCCTTAAATATGTAATGTTTATGCTGCTCCAGAGCTCCTTAAATATCTTATATTTATGTTTAGTAAACTATGGACTGCTCCAGAGCTCCTTAAATATATTATGTTTATGTTAAGTAAACTATGGACTGCTCCAGATCTTCTTAAATATATTATGTTTATGTTTAGTAAACTATGGACTGCTCCAGAGCTCCTTAAAAATATTATGTTTATGTTTAGTAAACTATGGACTGCTCCAGACCTTCTTAAATGTATAATGTTTATGTTTAGTAAACTATGGACTGCTCCAGAGCTCCTTAAATATATTATGTTTATGTTTATTAAACTATGGACTGCTCCAGACCTCCTTAAATATATTATGTTTATGTTTAGTAAACTATGGACTGTTCCAGAGCTCCTTAAATATATTATGTTTATGTTTAGTAAACTATGGACTGCTCCAGAGCTCCTTAAATCTTCCCAAAGTAATATCGGGGGAACTCAAAAGGAATTTATCAGAAATTTTACAAATAAAGAACCATAATCACGCTGTTTGAGACTTTAAAATGTAAATTAAGATATAAACTGAATTATCGATGTTTACAAAATCTGAAATTTTTTGTTTGGGTCGGAATTTAGGTATAAAAACATTGAAATTTTATTAAAAAAAATTGGGTTCGTGGATGTTTCCCCATGTTCCAAAAAGAATTTTTGAATTTTTTGTTGTCACATTTTAAATCAAACAATTTAAAACATTTTGTGAAAAATTGCGCTAAACCCGATTTTTTTTGACTCACTCTGTATCTAAATAAATCTGGTTTATATCTTACCATAACACACTCACCCAGTATAACACTAAACTTTCAATACGACTTTTCAATCAATCAATAACTGATACATTTTCAAATTTATTTAGTTTTTACGGGAAATTTTATCGAATTCTTTAAATTGCCTTGATATAATTTTGATATTTTGATGTTGGAAAAGTTTTGATAAATTGATTAGGGAGATATTTATTCTTTTGCCATAATTCTTCATGAGATAGCTGCCAGGTAAACTTTTATACTTTATTAAACATTTCAAAACAAATAAACTGCAAAGTTTTGGTGAAAAATAAATTAAGTTTGCTATAAAAGCTTGGGATGGAAGCTAATTAAATAGTTTATAGTGTACATAATGCAAAGTATTACAGAGCCCGAAATTTTAAAGAGTATCGTTGAACGAAACTCCTGAGTTTCCTTTTTGACATTTGTGTAAATTTTGATCCAAGAGATTCGGAAAGATGGAGAATATGAAAAAAAACTAAATTAAATAACATTGCATAAGGAAAATTTTGATATCCACAAAACTGACAAATCCTATTCGTGAAACCTGGGTTTCAAAACTGTTTTCATAAGGATACACTGTCCTAAGTTTTGGGCTCAGAGTAACTCTCGAGGGATGAGAAATTAAAGACGAACTTTTTAAGTAAAACTTAAAATTTAAAATCATTATTATTATAATACACTGCAGCTGGGTAGCAAAAGATTTTCATGTATAACATTGCTCCACAGATTGAGATAAAAACATTGTCTATCTAACCTTATTCTGAGTAAACATTTTAAAGGAACTGTAGTCGTAATTTAATGAAATTGAGCCGCGTCTTAAATCCTTTAAAAACAGGTTTTAATCATAGAGAATAGAATATATAGAGAGGAATTTACTAGAAAAAAGTGTAAAACGGCCATTTTGTTGTACTGTTTCCATACTGCTGGTATACTTCACATATTTATGCTATAAAACCTGTTGGGCCCTGGAATATCATTTTATAGAAAATCTCAAATTATTGTGAAAAGAAAACCAAATTATGAAATAGGCTGGTTTCATAATTGACTAATGCTCATTTCACATAGACTCTATGCCTTCCACTTTACAAACGATGATTTTCCGTTATAACAATAAATCAAATGATATTTTTATTCACATAATTCATTATAAAGTTTATATATTTAACAGTTTAAAAAATTCGAAATTGAAATGGATAGTCTAGGGAACATACTGTATTAATGTACTCTACTGCATAAAATTTGTGAACATTTACATGATTTGTACACTTTGAACTCCCTTTCAGGCTGAAAGGGACTGAAAAAATTTATACCGTGAGATTCTTTTAATTCCTCTCTATATATTCTATTCTCTATGGTTTTAATTGAGCGCCGGCTTAAATCTTGAAACAATGAATATGATTTTAAGTGGATCCAACAACATTTAAGCCGCGGCTCAAATTCTTTAATTTCGGCCTCTGTAGACGTAAATTTCAAATGACCCTCAATTCACAACGGTACCTTTTGTATAATCAGGGATAAACAAAGATATCCTTATTTTTCTAGATAAAAAAATGTTAATTTCAGTTTCTCTTTTAAATTAACTTGCGCATTTACGCCTAACATGGAGGAAAATAACTGAAATTTACACTTTTCTAGATAAAAGGACGAACATTTGTATTTCATTGTTGTGCTCATAGAGGTTTAAAGGGTATCGTTGTGAATCTCACATGCCACTCTATAAATGGAGTGTAACTTGAGATAACGTCTATAGTCTCTTTAAGAGAGACTTATATCTTTTTATATTTTTAGAAATGGAACCTGGGGTTTAGCAGATAGTTTTCTAGAGCCTAGAGAAATAATAAATAAACTTATACACAGGTACACCGACAGTACACTTTCTTTGTAAACAAATGGTTTTATCGATAAGATAAACCGACAGTATACGCTTTCTTTGTAAACAAATGGTTTTATCGATAAACCGACAGTACGCTTTCTTTGTAAAGAAATGGTTTTATCGATAAACCGACAGTACCCTTTCTTTGTAAACAAATAGTTTAATAGATAAACCGACAGTACGCTTTCTTTGTAAACAACAAATGGTTTTATCGATAAACCGACAGTACCCTTTGTGTGTAAACAAATAGTTTGATAGATAAACCGACAGTACGCTTTCCTTGTAAACAAATAGTTTCACACAAACCGACCGTCACTTTGTTTTAAACAAATATTTTTACAGAAACCGACAGTAAACTTTGATTATAAACAAATTGTTTTATAGAAGTCGGTCTTTTAATAAATTAAATATTCATAAATAATTATTGTCGGCGGAGCTTATTTGTTTTGGTAAAAATCTTACAATAATTTATTAACGAAGCTGGGATAATTAATAATTTCAATTTTATAAATAATTAGAAATAAATCTTAATTAATGATATTTTAGTGATGGAGAGTTCAGACCAGACATTGAGAAGTTAGTCATAGATGAGGTATCTATATATCTTTAATTTTTATCTTTGGCAATAAAATATTTTTTTTCGGGGCAAAATTTCTTTTTCTTCAGAGCAATATCAAAATCAAAGTAGAGAAATTGCACAATTCTATGTTTTTTTAGACCATGATTTAGATAATCGTCCACCAACTTTTAAACTAAAAAAAAGAATCTTCTTGAACTGAAACACACATCATTCAATTCTAGCAGGAATTATAGCATTTCAAAAAACCTAATTGTACGATGTTTTTGGATCAATTCCAAATAAAATAATTTCAGCATATTACATCTTGTTACGAGAGGTCTTGCTTGCCCTTCATTTCTAGAAGTATTTTAGTTTTTCATTCTTTACTATCCTTTACGGAACCGAATTGATCCTAGGAAAGAATGGAAACTGGAAATCAATGGCTTTCTTATTGATGCAAATTTAAATCAATTTTTCATCCCATAATTCTCTAACTTTTCGTGAACTGTCCCTTTGGTTTAATTGATAAGTTAACTGATTAGGAGTTGAAAGTTTTAATTACACGCTGTTGGTGTGAAGAGGCATTAGATAGACCGGATATAAATATTATAAAGGTAACATACTTTGATAGACCGGATATAAATATTATGAAGGTAACATACTTAGATAGACCGGATATAAATATTATAAAGGTAACATACTTAGATAGACCGGATATAAATATTATAAAGGTAACATACTTAGATAGACCGGATATAAATATTATAAAGGTAATATACTTATATAGACCGGATATAAATATTATGAAGGTAACATACTTAGATAGACCGGATATAAATATTATAAAGGTAACATACTTATATAGACCGGATATTAGGATTTTTATATTACTTGAAACATTTTAACTCGCAAAAACTTTGGGTTTCGACTTTTAAGGTTGCTGTACTTTTTAAATGCACCACAAAAACATTTCAAAAACATGTTTTAACATTGCACATTTAATTTTAAAAGTTAACTAACCAGAAGGACAACCTTAACCAAATGATAGTTTTTGGTTTCGTTTTTTGCATATATCTCCTCTCATGGTCAACATTTTAGGAAAGTGGATGAAAAATAAAAGTTTAGAATAAATAATGGGTTGAATTTGTAAAAGGCCTTTCAAAATGTTGTGAAAACTTTTTTAAAAATATTTTTAAAAACTTTGTTTTTAAAATGACCTTGTGTTTAAAAAAAACCTTGTGTTTAAAATAAACCTTGTGTTTAAAAAAACTTTGTGTTTAAAAAAACCTTGTCTTTGAAAAGACCTTGTGTTAAAAAAAACCTTGTGTTTAAAAAGACCTTGTGTTTAAAAAGACCTTGTGTTTAAAAAAACCTTGTGTTTCAAAAAAACTTTGTGTTTTAAAAAAACCTTGTGTTTAAAAAACCTTGCGTTTTATACTTTGCTTGTGCATCCCTTTCTATGCTTATGACACTGACGCCCCCTTGTATTCAAATACAATAATCTCAAAAAATTTCAGACATATTTGAAGAAACTGAATCCACAGAAGTCTTCCAACATTTTGGATAATTTACTTTCCAGGTATCTAGACATAGACATAGACAAAGACATAGAAATTAATAGGCATATAGATAGACAAAGACATAGACATAGACATAGACATAGACATAGACATAGACATAGACATAGACATATGGACATTGATATGAACATGGATATGGACGTTAATATGGACATGGACATGGACATGGACATGGACATGGACATGGACATGGGCAGCATGGACAGGGACATGAGCATGAACATGGACATGGACGTGGACATGGACATACACATGGACATAAATATGGACATGAACATGGGCATCAATGTCCACTGAACGACACTATATCTTGAGCATCGACATGGATATTAACATGCATATGAAAATGGATATGGAAATGCATAAAGGACGTGAATATGGAAAATGACATGGGCATCAATGTCCACTGAACGACACTATATCTTGAGCATCGACATGGATATTAACATGCATATGAAAATGGATATGGAAATGCATAAAGGACGTGAATATGGAAAATGAGAGGTTATAGACATGAAAATATTGAAAAATGGTATTTATTTATCAAGGATGGAAATATTGAAAAATGGTATTTATTTATCAAGGATGGAAATATTGAAAAATGGTATTTATTTATCAAGGATGGAAATATATGCGAACAACCTTGAGAGTCTAGTTGAAGAAAGAACTGCTAATTACCTGGAGGAGAAGAGGAAATGTGAAGATCTTCTTTATGAACTTCTTCCAAAGGTAAAAACGGTTTTACCACCTTTTAGAATTATTTACCACATTGTGACCAGATGTACCACCTTGTTACCGGTTTTACCACCTTTTGATCAGATTTACCACCTTTTGATCAGATTTACCACCTTTTGACCAGATTTGCCATCTTTTGACCAGATTTGCCAACTTTTCACCAGATTTATCACCTTTTGACCAGCTTTGCAATCTTTTGACCAGATGTATCACCTTTTGACCAGATTTGCCATCTTTTGACCAGATTTGCCATCTTTTCACCAGATTTACCACCTTTTGACCAGGTTTATCACCTTTTGACCAGATTTGCCACCTTTTGACCACATTTATCATCTTTTGACCAGATTTGCCATCTTTTGACCAGATTTACCACCTTTTGACCAGATTCGCCAACTTTTCACCAGATTTATCACCTTTTGACCAGCTTTGCAATCTTTTGACCAGATTTAACACCTTTTGACCAGATTTGCCATCTTTTGACCAGATTTGCCAACTTTTCACCAGATTTATCACCTTTTGACCAGCTTTGCAATCTTTTGACCAGATCACCTTTTGACCAGATTTGCAATCTTTTGACCAGATTTACCACCTTGTGACCAGATTTGCCATCTTTTGACCAGATTTACCACCTTTTGATCAGGTTTATCACCTTTTGACCAGATTTACCACCATTTGACCAGCTTTGCAATCTTTTGACCAGATTTAACACCTTTTGACTAGATTTGCCATCTTTTGACCAGATTTGCCATATTTTCACCAGATGTATCACCTTTTCACCAGCTTTGCAATCTTTTGACCAGATTTGCCATCTTTTGACCAGATTTGCCATATTTTTACCAGATTTATCACCTTTTGACCAGCTTTGTAATCTTTTGAACAGATGTATCACCTTTTGACCAGATTTGCCATCTTTTGACCAGATTTGCAATCTTTTGACCAGATTTACCACCTTGTGACCAGATTTACCACCTTTTGACCAGATTTACCACCTTTTGACCAGATTTAACACCTTTTGACCAGGTTTATCACCTTTTGACCAGATTAATCACCTTTTGATCAGATTTACCACCTTTTGACCAGATTTAACACATTTTGACCAGACTAATCATTTTTTGATCAGATGTATCACCTTTTCCCCAGATTTATCACCTTTCGACCATTTGCTAAAAACTGATATTTTTTGTTTTTGTTTAGCCTGTTGCCCGGAATTTAATCGAGGGAGGAGATAAGGAAACCAATAATTCTATCAGCTGACAATTTACTGATTATATTCTAACTCTGATTTATTAAGCATGGTTACCCAGAAAGGATGGAACTGTTATAACAAGCTGAACCTTGTATCATGATCCGACGGTTGAATGTGAGAAATCATAAATGTAAGAACGAGGTTAAAATCCTTACAGTCGTCCCTGAAGTCTCGTCCTTTGTGAATAATCCTGTATTTTTAGTAAAAAGCTTTTCAGAATTTGAATGAAGTAAAACAATTTAATTTTATATAATTGATTTCTAGAATTAAAGGTTTAATGTATAGAAAGTTATTGCAGAAACATATGCAGCGTGCACCATTTACTTTAGGTAGGTTTTCATTTTATTTTTAGTTTAAAGGGACTGTTAAGATCTTTTCAAGCGACCCGATCCATTTAAAGATAGCAATGCTCGATTTACTGCGCAATCCTTGGAACTTTAATCTGATCAAAAAGAGGAAAGATAACGTCGTTTTTCTTACTCAAATTTCTCCATTGCTTCTGAGAAGTAAGCAATCCGCAAGTAACTGCAAATGAAAATTAACAGTTTAAAGGTAAAAACATTGTTATCTAAATATTCTTCATCTAATTATCTAATTCATCATCTAATTCATCCTTGATTAGACAAAGCTTTCAAGGGTACCGTTGTAAAAAAGACATTGACATTATTGTAATATTACAGTCCCAGTCAGGAGTGGTCAGCATCATTTGATATTCATCTATTTATCTAATCATCCTTTTTATCTATTCATATATTCTTCTCTTAAAACATTCATCTATTAATATATATTCTTATATTCATCTATTCATCCATTCATCTTTTCTTTATTTATCTACATATTTATCTACTCACAAATGATCTATTCACATATTAATCTATTTACTATTTAATCTATTTATTTGTCTAATTCTAGTGATATAGTTGGGTTCACCTCCCTGTCAGCTGAAAGTACACCTTTAGAGATTGTTTATTTTCTCAACGATCTCTACACACTATTTGATTCTATTATACAACAGGAACAGTTTAAAACATGAATTTAAAAACTTTTGATTTTATTTTCAATGTACTTAACATCAATAACGTTTTTTTCGTACACAAAAATGGTTCAATGAAGACGGCTTTTCTATTTGTAGTTAAATTGCACCCCGCGACCGGCGGGTTTTCTGACGCTTCAGCACACTCGCACGTGAACCGATCCACCTGGCAAGCACATTTTTGGAAGAGGGGAGAGCTTGCTTATCTGGTCCTCGAATTTTGGCAAGATCCGACAACTTTGAAAATCCGAAAATTTTAGTTTTGATTTCCAACAATCTTTTTTTTTAAATTATGAATTTATAAGTAAACAAATAGAAGCTTGGTGAAAATCAAAAGTTTAAATCGAAAGTCGTCTTCATTGTATTTATATATAGGACAACTGCTATTCAATACATTGAAAGATACAAATACTTTTGTAATTATAGATTATCAATAGATACTTGTTAGCCAGTACATAGGAAACATCCTATCTCAATTATTTTCTGATAATCAGAATTCTTTACAAAAATATTTCAGTTCATCGATAAGAGGTATTTTCTATTTATATCATCATTTATTAAAGATAAAATTTAATGAATAGTTCGAAGGCAGGAAGGGGCAGGGTGTCCCCAAAAA